TTAATTTATGGTCATCGATCTCAGATAGTTTAAATTTCGCTCTTAATTTATGGTCATCGATATAACAAAGTACAGATGCGCTCTGTAAATATTCTCACGGTCGTGTCGCCATACTACACTGACTATATTCAGGATGGTAACAAGTACGCTCGCGTTACATAAGCAATTTTTATAATCGAATCACAGTTTATCAAAGTATAGTCTTGTGATTGATCTAGATTTACTAGGTACTAAATTTTCGTTGCCTAAAATTACGAATCAGACTGCCAATAATTTATATCAAAATGAACGAGGAGACAATTATTGATTTTACTACTTTAGGTAAACTTAATGCTATAATATTTGTGGAAAATTAAATTTATCAATTATATATTGTTAATTATCATCTGTTCATCTTCATGACATCTACTTATAATGATAGTAATATAATATAACATAAGTAGTATTTCTTTGTTCAGTAGTTATATGTATTTATTGTATTCGATTGAAATTATTTTAATAAATTATAAACCATTTTATAAATTACAGCATATGTATGCTTTTATCGAGGCTAATGACCACAGTTGTCAATGTCCATAGTTCAAACAATCAATCAATATACCTTTATTATATAAGTTACTGTCGATTGTTATCATTGTGTTATAGTTATTCAAATGTATGTATATATTTAAAATATAAGTTTCAACATGTTGATTTTCAAATAATTTTACATTATGTAATATACACTTTAAATTTTTCCGTCAAAATATGGCAGATAAAGTAGAAAAACATATAGCTGTTTTTTTTTCTTTTTTTTTTAGAATTAAAGATAAGCAGATACTTATGTTATATGTATACTTACTTATAAATTCATTATGTATTATTTCTCAATAAAAATATTATCATTTTTCAAAATAAAGACACTTAAACAGTTCTTTCCATTTACTGTCATAATTTATTAAGCAATAAATTATATTTATGTTTTGTAGAACCAAATATTCAAACTTTGATAAAGAAGAGTATAGCAGCCCGTGAGTACTCTTATTCACCTTACAGTAAATTTAAAGTTGGAGCTGCAATACTTTGCGTCGATGGAACTATTTTCACAGGATGCAATGTAGAGAATGCATCCTATCCTGTTGGAACATGTGCTGAAAGAACTGCTATTGTAAAAGCAGTATCAGAAGGGAAACGAAAATTTAAAGCATTGGCAGTAGCTGCAGACAAAGAAAAGAATGATTTTGTTACCCCATGTGGCTTTTGTAGACAGGCCATTGCAGAGTTTGGAGATATAATAATTTACTTGACTGGACCTGACACCACAAGTGTTCTAAAAACTACGATATGTAAACTATTACCCCATGCCTTTGGTCTTGGAAATACAGAAATATTGGAATAAATATTTCTAAAGTATTTTTTTGTAGAAAGCAACGAAAGTGAAATGAATTTATTTGTATTAACTTCTTTACTATTATATTGTAATATCTCACAGTAAAAATGTGAGGATTTATTTGATATACCAGTATAGAGTGATTTCAATGATCTTTTAATGTATTGTTAGGTGCATAATTTTTAATAACTTTCTCCTTGCACATAATGCGCGGACGGTCGTAAGTTTTGAGATTCTCTCAAAAAACTGTCGATACCCCTAGCTGTAATGTCTTGTATGTTACTTCTGGTTTCCGTCCAAATATTAAAACATCATTGAAATCGGTCTGTGTAGGCATATGAAATACTAGCCATTTGTATAATGTATTATATAAACTAATCGATACTGATATAAGATCGATGCAATTACAATGACTAAGATATCGTGTACAAGTTTCAATAAATACAAAGACATTCCTTAAAAAAAAATATTGTTACCATAATCTTATTCCTGAGCAGTTTTCTGGTGTTTACATAAATAATACATAAGTAATTATTACGAGGCTTCTGAAGCGTGATTTCTAATGTACATTATACCTGATAAGTGAGAATAACACGAATATTATATACAATCAATGTAATAATGTAGCTTATTTATGTACAATATGCTCTAATATTATGGTGTTACATATAGTCATTCCTTAATAATAAAAAATGCAAAAACAGGAACGAGACTGCATATGATACATATCCAAGACCTCACTTATGAAAATTTATGTTTACCAGAAAGGACACCTGTAATTAAACATATATTTAATAATACGAATGTCATTAATAATATGTAATAATACAAATGATGTAAATAAATTTAAAAATATAATGAAAGATTGAAAATACCATCCGATATAACATTGACATAAATTTTCATTATTGGTAGCTTGTTGAATTAAAAGGTCAACTTGGCGTTGGACGCTTAATGTTTCTTCATGAGAGAAGTCGCGTCCTGTTAATTTATCCCTTACTCTTGTTATGATTGCAAGAGCTTTTTTGTTAAGCGCTTCTGGCTGATTAGTATCACCTGTTAACAAAACGTTCAACTTCATGTTCCTGCCACGTATTAAAGTAATTGATAATTACCTCCATTTTCAACGCTACATGGTACTCCTTTCTTTGGTAACGTGGCAGTAAGAGAATCCAATGTGTCGCTATGCTCTTGATTACTGCTAGCACTCATCCCTTGAGCATCGGATCTTTTACCTTTCAACGCAGCATCCATCAATCTCCAATTTAAAAGAGGATCGTAGACAAATGCTTCCAACACCGCCATTAGGCTATCTTTATTACGGTGAAGCACTGACATTACTGATTCGCAGGTTCTTCTGTACGTGCCCTCGATTCCCGTTACTTCCATTGCATTGATCAACATACGGGTCAATCGAAATGGTATTTTTTCAGGGAACTTCTCACGGGTCATGGCCACTTCGAAACAATCTCCAAAATCAATATGTAATATCTTCCCGCTTAAACGATCTAACATTAAATTCGAGGGATGCCGATCTCCAAGACCAAGAATATACCCTACCATTGACATAACAGCGAGAGAACGAGTATAATTTGTTCTGCGATCAAACCATACTTCGCTGGATGGTGATTTTAGCCAAAGAAGCCGCGATAAATCGTCACCGTGTGTATGTTCGAGGGCATGTTCAAAAACTTCAACCTTTTGCATAAGCGTAAGATGATCATAACCTGGAGCCATCTGTGAATGAAATCTTTTTAATTAAATTGTTAAAAACATCAAGTTTTAATTTGTATAATATTACTTACGCGTAACATTATCTTATGCTCTATGTTTAACAATATTTTCTTCTTTTCTCTGTAATCTCTAATTAAAGTGTGTAGCGTATCACAATGCGGTACCCAACCAATCAAACCACTATTTGTGGATAATGGAATTACAGCATATCTCTAAACATAACAAATATCTCGTTGTTAATCTTATTTTATGTGAGACAATTACACATGTAATATGTTATCTCACTTGGATAGTTAGGTTTCTTCTAAATGTATCTGGGTCATGCAACAGGAGAGTATTGACTAGACCAAATAATTGCATCACACGTTCATCTTGTCGAAGATCTTCGTGTCCTTTTAAAAGGAACATATAATCTTTACCATTACTACCTGTTCAAATAGAATTTTAAACATTAGCAGTTTCCAATACTATACATTAAAATAACTGACTTAAAGATGACAAACCTTTTATACACAATTTCCTTGGTCGTTGTTTGCTCGTTATTACTTGCATAGAACTATGAATACTTGCTATTCTGACTATTGGCTGTCCAGGACTATAACTTCCTGGCACAGCTAGTTCCAAATCTCTGCAAAGAAGCAATTTTGGACTGACATATTGAAGCTCTAAACTAGTTAATTGTGGCAATTGCCTAGATATCCGTCGAAAAACGTGATAGTATAGATCCCAAGCTTGATTTAAGTCTCTGACATTACGCGATGCTTTGTATCTATGACACCATTCCTGTGCCTCCATTAAATCTCTACCATAAGCTTGATTAAAAGAAGTTTCTTTCAATGTTTGCGGACCTCTTTCTAGCATTGCATGTAAAGGCTCTAATGTATCAAACATTCCTCTAACATTTCTTTCTCCAAAATATAGTCTACTAGCTTCTTCCAATCCTTCGTGCCAAAGCTCGTGCCAGAGAATTGCAACTCTAATTAATTCATCGCTAACCATCATTGCTTGTTGCACCAAAGTTGGACTATGTTCACACATACTTTTAAGAATCTTATTTGCAGCAGTTTTTCTGGCATGGCTGGCACTTTTTGATGCCACGGTTAATGGATAAACTAAAGCTTGGGGATGTGTTTTTCCAATATCTATTAAAAGATGATGTATGCATCGACCAACCAAGGCTCTGGGTGTATCTATTCTCGCTATAAGTTGAGGAATTACTTGTAACCACGTATTGATTTCAATTAGTCGAATACCTTCTACGATAGCTTCATATACTTCAGGCCACTGTCCATAATCAAACCACAATGTTAGTAAACGGAGTGTATCTTGTAATGAATTTCCATGAGAGAGATTGATAGATCTAAAAAATCCTTCTACTGCCGGTACAGTAAACTGAGATATATATTGTGAACTGGAGAGGTTATTACGAGTTCCATTCCCTGGAGTGCTCTCAACGTTTGATTCACCCTGCTGATGTTTGTAAAATAGAACCGTTTCAAAATTAGTATACGCGAAAGCGTGCCATGCTTTGTACCAAGTTGGATCATGTTCCGTTGCCGCAGCATAATAAGATAAAACTGCCGGTATAGAATGTTCGTTTATGCCTTGCAGAGCCTCTAACCATTCTCCAAGCTTTAAATAACATCTAGCAAGTAGTCTTTTTCTTACTTCTTGTTGCTTTTCATCTTCTGGATTCACAACTGACATAGTTGTTGGTTGCAGAGATGTCTGTACAAATCTTTGTAGCTGATTGTACGCTTCATCTCGTTTATTAGCAACCCACATATGCTTACAGTAAGCAAAAGTTACTTGAGGATGTGTGGATGGCAATGGCTGATCAGGGGTTAATGATGGATCAACTCCAAGCAACATAACTAACGTTTTGTGACATAACATTAAACTACCACTTTTTCTGCAAAGGCTTGCATATTTCAGCCATGTGTACATATCATCCTGTGGTGAAACAACCAATGTATGAACTTGAATAATCTTTTGCCAATCTTCAACTATTCTTTGTCCACCTTGTAATCTTTCCCACCACATAGATTTAATGGTAGATCTTCTTTCTGGAACGAGTTTGAATTGTATTACTTCTTCTAGTTCTGCTAACTTTTGAACTTCTACCATTGCATTGTAAGCTCTTTGATAACTTTCACCTGCCATGGCAGTTAATTCTGTGTCCAGCAAGTCTCTGGCACTGTCAATAAGTTGATGAGCAATATTGTATTGTTCATCATGAATTGCTAAAACAGCCCGATAAAAAGCCCCATCTTGAGTGTCTTTTGGTATTAAAGATACATATTTTTCCATGCTTTCCCACTGACTCAAACCCCATGCGGCAGCTGCTGCCATCCTAGCCATTCTTTGTTTGATCTCATCATTTTGATGTGACCATTGTTTAGTGGCTACATCATGTAATTGTCCCCATTCTCCAAGCGCTTCTAAGCATCGCATTTCGCCTAAGGTCGATTCTACGTCTGTAGAATCACTTTCCAATCTTTCTCTATACAACTGCAATGCTTTATCCCAATTATGCAATTTTTCGTACCAGCGAACTTGTACTTTTAAATCTTGCTGATTATTTTGATTCATAACATATTCTAACAAACCCTCTGCGGCTTCTTTTTGTTGAAGTTTATTATTGATAGATATCAATGATTCAAAAACATTACTGTTTCTACTCTTGTGAAATTCATCCTCTTTATAATGCAACGCTTTTGCATATGCTCTGCAGTGCATTGCTCGTTCACCCAAAATTTTGTTGTCCAATGGCAATGGTCCTTTGTCACAGTGCTCCATAAATTCCGCCAAATTTAAGATCGTTTGTGTGATCTCAGGAAGATCCGGAACCATCAGTGCTTGTTGCAATGTTTGAATCAACTCTGCTCTATATGTATCATCTAATTCTGTCCAGCAGGAAACGAATGCTGCATTAAATAAGTCTCTAGGTAATTGAGAATATGTTTGTGCAAGAGCCCAGCAGGATCTTAATGCTGGTGAAGGGGATTCCTTGAGCAAACCAATTGACAAGCTTCTTAGCCATTCGAGCCAATCGTCCTTTGAAACTCTCCTCGTTGCTGTCCAAGCTTTTTGAAGATTTGATGCAGATACATGTAATCTTTTTATCGTGGTTGTGTCCGACGATGTCAATGACACATCGCGGTTCTTGTTTCTTGAATGTCGATGTCGTATTAGCAGATAATCTTCACCATCAGCAACAGTAGTTTCTGTTAAAATTTTATCGATTAGAACATCATAACGTGGGTTGCTAATCTTGTGCTTCGTCATAACCTTTTGTACCAGTAATATAAAGATTTGATACTTTTTCCCTAATTGTATCACTAATGCACACAACGTATCCATTGCTGTATTTCGTAGCTCTGGACATTGATCTAGGGTTCGAACCAAAGGATGTACAATTCTGGATGCAAAATCTGTAAAATCTAATGTGTCAGCCAGATGATCCACCGTTTCAAGAGCTACTCTGTTAACCATTATTGGACAGTCAGTAGCATGAAATAATTTTACTATTGGTGGCAAAACTAAATGGAGATAGTTGTCTAAATTATTGCCAAATTTTTGAAGCGCTTGAAGAAGTTTGACAGTAACTGATCTATCTTTGCTTGTGTCATGTGTCAGAACTCTTAATATTTGTGGCATTAACTGTGGCAAATAAATTTTAAATTCTGCACCTAATGCAACTGCAATGTGTTCGACTAGAAGTATTAATGTACTTTGTAGTGGGCTATTCACAGTCCAGAACTCCTTGATTAAATTGAAAATATCATCCAAATAATTTCTAATATGTTGTTTTACAATGGCTATAAGAATGGCCAGTTGTTGAAACAGATATTCTCGAAAATTAACATCCGCTGTACGGACAACGTTCAGAAAGCTTGGCATTACTTGAGAAATGTATGGCACACATTTTATTCCTAAACTTTTAAATATAAACGTTACTGCTTGAACCACCATTGTATGATGCTGCGATAATGTCGGGTCTCGTATAATTCTCATAAGCGTTGCAATTGCAATAGCTGGATAATATTCTTCTAAAGTTGACGAAGACATATTCACCAACATTTCACTTGTTGTTAAGTCTTGCGTATTTTCAATATCACTTTTAGTATCAGCCATCGAAGTAAGTGTATCTAGTTGAGAATCAATTTGCCCAAGGTTCATTTTATGTTTGTATGGATCCAAAGCACCAAGTAATCCAAGAACTCTTATAGTTTCTCTTCTAATAATTGGTTGTTGTTCAGTTTTTAAAAAGTTTATTAAAACATCTAATAACGAAGGGTACTGCATGTATGGCTTTACAACGTGTCCTGTACTTCCAACTAACTGACCAAGAACCCATAATGCTACGCCTCTTTTCTCTGGGGAACTAGCATCCACAAGCATTTCCAACAATATAGACAAAAGTTCAGGCATCCATTGTTGCATCTCAGCACCATTAACTTCAGCTAGATCGCCAATAGCTCGTAGTATGCCTAAAATTACACCAGGGTTCGATTCAGGTTCCTTCAATTTAGGAACCAGAACTTTCAAAATGGGTTCCATGTATGGTCTTATGAGTCTTGGCGCACTAACGACCAAATGATCCAACATACGAGCAGCTTGTTCTTTGTTACGACCCATACCCGAATGTTCTAATTCGGTTAAAAACTGTATGAGGGTCTTCCGAAGAGACGGCATAACGTACGCTGGGTTCATCGTGCTTAATCGTCCAATCGTACGAATCGCTAATTCTCTTATTTCAAACATTTCATCATTCATTGCAATAAATAATGCTGATAGATTTTCTGCTTGTGCTAGATGAATATCAAAAGAATCATCTAAGGAGGCTAAAACCCAAAGTCTTACATCAGGATCTGTGTCGGTAATGCCTACCACTAATAATTTTCCAAGAACAGTAGAAACGGTATTAGTCACTGTGGGTCCTGGTTGATTTAAAGCTAATCGTAATAGTCTAGAACAGGTTCTTACCGCTTCTAACCGAACCTCTGCTTGCTCAGATGTAAGAAAATGATCTGCACATCGCCTAACAAATTGTAAAAGTGGATTACCATCAAAATTAAATGTTCCAAGAGTTTTCAATGCTAAAACTGTTGATGGAATATCTACTTCCGTTGGAGGAACAGAAATAGGACTAGTTGCAGTCCATGGTGCACCAGGATGTCTCAGAGGTTTTTGCATCAAAACTTGAGATAACATTCGCAGGAGTCCTTGAGATATGTCCGATTTTAGCGATGGAACACTGTGGGCCAGTTCTCTAAGTGACGTTGTAAGTATTGGACTCAATCCAGTCGCTAACATGGATTCCAATAGATCTCTTACATCTGCAGCTATAACTTGTTTTACTGCATGTCCAAGTAAAGTTATGCAAATAAATACTGCTGGTTCCAATGGTGCTCCTCTTTTTTTAGTAGACGTTTCTTTAGATGGTAATAAACTCTTAATGACTTCCATAATTTTTGAAAGATAAGGATTTATCGAATCTTCTACAGCAACAGCTATAAATCCAATTGTAGTGAATGCAGCATACCGATCTTTTTCTCTACTACGTAAAGTCATTAAAAGATATACTAGTGATTCTCTCAAATGGTCTTTCGTGAATTTCTCTTTATTAAATGCAGCAAGTCTGGGTAACAGCATCATAAGCGCGTGCTGAATATGTGGGTTTCTGGACATTCTTTGATTCATCACATCATTATAGATATCATCTAATCTTTCTTGCATCAAACAACGACAAACTGCAGACTCATGCACTGGATACAATGTTTGCTGAAAATTAGAAGAACTTTGAGAAGAACTGGACCACTTGGAAACAATAGCTGTTTTTAAACGAGGCATCAAAGACAATATATCATTTTCATTTTGTTGAGTGGAACAATTCAATCGTTCCATTAAAGCTTCATAATTTCTTTCCCATTGAATGTTACTACATCTAAGTAACTCATTCAATATTAATAAAGAACCATGAATTCTATCATCTCTATTAACTCCCCTTTCTCTAGTATATACTTCTTCGAATCCTGCTACTATTTCATCATAGCACTGCTTGTACCATTGAGATTTGTGCATTTGTTTTGCTGTTTCTCTCTGTGCAGTAACAACCAAAGCAGCTCTTAGTGCTTCCACTGCACCTTCTCTTATCACAGGTTTTGGATCACGTATTGCATTAAATATAAGTTCAAAAAATGGAGTTACTTGTTGAAAAAAATATGTTGGCATGGAAACAGCAAGTTCCCTTAAAACAAGAACAGCGGCATGTCTTTTACCTTCATGTCTATCTCCACCCAGCCATTCAAAGGCACGCTTTACTTCAAATTCTACATATTCTGCTGTATAAGTACCTGAAACTAATGCCAATTTTCCTACAGTTTTTGCAGCCAATTCCATGACCCCCACATCATTAGAAGGTAATAAATTTCTCAAATAATTGGCAAATCGTATAGTTCGTGTATTAATATTTCCAACGTCAGCTCCAATAAGACAAATTATTGCTAATATTCCCCCTTTTTTTTCGTTGACGTCTGATCCGGATACCATTTCAAATATGTGATGATTAAATTCATCCATAAAAGCTGTAATTTCTTCTTGTGATGCTTCACGTAGTTCTGTTTTAACATAGAGACAGAGATCTCTAGCTGCCTTATTACGTGTTTCTTCATTTTTGGATTTAAGTCTTTGAACAAACTGCTGTAAGAGAGTAGTCAACATTGTTAAAAATTTACTGCTATCAATTTTACAGCTGAATTTTTTTCAATTTCCTTGTATTGATATCTGAAAAATCATGACATGAATATAGAATAAAATTACAGGCAAATAGAAATTAATGATAATGTCCACATACCTATTTGACATCAAACGAATCTTGCATGATGATACAATATTTTCATGATTGTCATTATTTCTATACTTTTTCTAAAGAATCAAATGATAATAATGTATCTTCAGCTACATTATTACGAGGCGATGTCTGTCACATAAATTCTTCATGTTTTGATACACACTGGTTACAAGTCAAATGTATTACAAGCTAGTTCTATGTGTTGTACACACACGAACGATTGAACTAGTCAATGTCATTAATTCTGTGATTTATAGTAAATACAGAAAAATAAAGGTAGTGCGTTCTTCGTGAGAACTATGTATTAGAAGTTTATAACCTCTACATTGGTTATTACGGTTTGCCCAACTAAATTGTATGCTTTGAAAGGTTTCCCCCACTCTTTCTGATAAACACTATTCAAGTATACATTCAAATTAATTCAAACGGGAAATCATACCCATCATCTGACGAGTTTTCGTTCATTCTACGCATATCTGTCCTCATTGGTTCGAACACGCATCTTAACCGCGAGCAATGTGCACGCATGTTGTGACTTTTGTGCCGCTAATGTGTATACCCAGTGATCTTTTATTTTAAATATTCCTTTCATGCTACTTATGTATCATTATGTCCCCTCCTTATCGATACATTTTTGTTCACAGCGTATATGACTGGTGAGGTAAGCACCAACTGATAGGGAGTCTGCTGAAGTTAGCTGAGCTGCGCGAATTAAGTATGATCTCTCGTAGAACAGAGTATAGAAATGTTATTTACGAATGAAAATGACTTATTTCAAATAAGCTATACTTTATTAACCAAAGTAATATCAAATGCGTTTTAAACATTTAAAGACTAACCAAATTTATGACATTGAACTGATGCCAATTTTAAATTATATGTTTTACACATTTTCTCACACAAATGATATCTTATAAATAATTATTTATAAGTTCAGCATTTAACATATTAATTATACTTTCAAATTCTAATATTTAATGTAAAACAATGAAAAAATTGATTATGAATTTCGAAAATAAAGTTTATATAAAAATCAGATCGAAGAAAACTTTTTATAATCCTTTCGCATAATACGTAATGATTCGTAACATTTCTAGTACACGCAGCAAAAAAAACTACGTACAATTTGTGGGTGTATAATTCATTGATCTATAATTCATTTTAATAGTTGTAATTTCAAGTCATTGATGATGAAGCATTAGTACCAGTGACATTTCATTTTGCGAATTAGTTCGCTTATAAATTTGTTACAAAATGATGCTTGTTTGGAGGTTATTCACAAAAAATATTACTGCAAAAAGTATAGAATTTTATAAATCTCCGATAGTGTATAAACAATTATTTTGTACACATTCAGTACCATCGATCAAGATCTATGGAAAAACATGTGTATTTTCTTCTTTAAGATATCATGGAACCAATGCCTTGGAAACGAAAGTTTTAAACTCCAGCGGACGCACCACTATACGAAAGAAAAGAATATCTAATTTTAAAAATTTATTTATGTTAGCAGTACCTGAAAAATGGAGGTTATTCGGTGCTATTACTTTTTTGCTGGTTTCATCAGCTGTCACAATGGCTGTACCTTTTTCTTTAGGAAAGTTGATCGATGTCATTTACACAACTGAGAAAGAAAATATGAAAGATAATCTTAATCGATTATGTCTCATTTTATTTGGAATATTTCTTATCGGAGGTATATGTAATTTTTGTAGAGTATACTTAATAACTACGGCTGGACACAGAATAACTCAGTCTTTAAGAAAACGACTGTATGCTGCTATCCTTCGTCAGGAGGTAGCAATGTTTGATAGATCTAGTACAGGAGAATTTGTTGGGAAATTGTCTGGTATATATTTAAGCTTCAAAGCATTATTACATTGAATAATTTCAAGTTTGTTGCTTGTATTACTACATTTCATTTTGTCGATTTCAGGGGATGCACAACTTGTTAGTTATGCATTAACAAGAAATTTATCAGATGGATTACGATCTGCTGTTATGAGTGTTGCTGGAATATCCATGATGTTTTATACTTTGCCTAAATTAGCTGTACTTGGTTTAGCTGTAGTACCACCACTTGCTGGTTTAGCCATAGTTTATGGCCGCATTTTAAAAAAGATTTCAAAAGACATACAAGATAATTTGGCATCGTTAAATACGATAGCTGAAGAGAGAATCAGTAATATAAGAACAGTCAAAGCATTTGCCAAAGAAATGACTGAAATTAATCATTATAACTCTAAATTAGATAAACTACTTAATGTATGCTATAAAGAAAGTTTAAATAGAGGAATATTTTTTGGGTTAACTGGTTTCTCAGGAAATGTAATCATCCTGTCTGTTTTGTATTATGGTGGAACAATGGTTTCTGATATGTCTCTCACAGTTGGAAACTTAAGTGCTTTCTTAATATATGCTACGTATGTAGGAATTTCTTTAAGTGGATTAACGTCGTTTTATAGCGAATTAAATAAAGCATTAAGTGCAAACACGCGTTTAGCTGAATTAATTGAAAGAGAGCCAGCAATACCTATTAGTGGCGGCAAAATTCTGGAAAATCAATTATCAGGTGATATTGAATTCCAAAATGTCAGTTTTGCTTATCCTACAAGGAAGAGTACATGGGTTTTGAAAAATTTCAGTATGAAGATCCCAAAATGCATGGTAGTTGCTATTGTTGGATCATCAGGTTGTGGAAAGTCTACAATTGCATCACTTTTGTTGAGATTTTATGATCCTAATTCAGGATGTATACTTTTGGACAATAATGATCTTAGGTCCCTTGATCCTGCATGGGTGAAATCGCAGATCAGTATTGTATCTCAAGAGCCCATTCTCTTTAGTGGAACAATAAGAGAAAATATATTATATGGATTAGAAGATTCATCAAAGTATGATGTAGAAGAAGTTGCAAGAAGTGCTCATGTTTTGGAATTTACAAAATGTATGGCAGATGGTTTAGACACAATGGTTGGAGAAAGAGGCATTACGCTTAGTGGAGGACAAAGACAAAGAGTTGCTATTGCCAGAGCATTGATAAAGGTAAAAATATTATTAAAACAAGTATTATATGGTTACATATTATATTTTAAACTTACTTGTGTTTAGAATCCAAAAATTTTAATTCTGGATGAAGCAACAAGTGCATTGGATGCAGAAAGTGAACATTATATACAACAAGCCTTAGAAAAAGCTGTTCAGGGTCGAACAGTATTAGTTATAGCCCACAGATTTAGTACAATAAAAAATGCTGACAAAATTATAGTCTTAAATAAAGGGCAAGTAGCAGAAAGTGGAACTTATGAAGAACTTAAAAATTTAAATGACAGTTACTTTAATAAACTAATTCAATATCAAACTTTTACCTAAATTTTAATATTAGTATACTAAAAAGGTCGTATATCTGTACATATTAATTGCTCAATGAATCATATGTAATAGCTATAAATGAAATAAATGACTAGTAGTATATAAAAATGATTCATAAAGGTCATTGAAAGTCACATTTGTAATAAATAATTAATAAATTTATTAATTTATAGAATACAATGTGTTATTTTGTAACTGCATTTTATTGATGAGTATCTCTACACAATATACTGACTCTTAAGGAATTATGTAATACTACAAAAGTTCATGTTTAAATTAACTTTTACAACCATTGGATTTTTTATTTATCAACTGCTTTTCATCAACAAAAAAATATACACTCATTAACAAGAGATAAATTTGGAATTTAATGTGTTTATATCTTCATTTAGTGTATCAAAATAATGTATATAATGCATAAATACTTAAGTAAGTATTTTGATGTAAAAGTCACAAAACCATGTGTCTTCTTTGATGTAAGATGTAAGGCAGGTATTATAAATAATCCCACTTTGGTAATAATTTTTAATATATTTTCCTATAAAACAATATACACTGCTATTTTAAGTTATATCAATATATTTTGCATCATTGATTTATGTTATTTTTAAATTAATACTCTATTACTACAATTAATATACTTCTTGATAAATTACTTTTAAATGTGTATTTGCTTAAAAATATCCAATGTAAACACATGACCAGAAGTAAATTATTATAATTAAACTAGGATAATTTTTAAAACATTATACAAGTCTAGTATATTCTCCTTCAGGAGAAAAGGAGGCTATTATAATATTCGTGTTACCTGATAAAATATTTAACTATTATCTTTATACTGAAAAACACAGCAAAGTATAAAAAGAGTTATATCACTTGTTCCTTCTAATTAGAGAAAAAACAAACTTTTATCCTTGCTGTGTTTTACATTATTTTTATGTAGATAATATGTGTAATAAAGGCATTTATTTATTGGTTACAACTTGCTTCATAAAATGGAATCTATATTTTGATTCCAATTATGTATTAATACAATTGAAACCTTTATCACTTTTTGTCATTTCTGTGAACATACATTATTGAAAGCTATTAATGTTTTAAAATTGATGTATTATTTGAATTGTCAATTATTCACCAATTAATTAAGTTTCAAAAGATCCTTCTGTACATAAGACCAGTAACCAGTTTGGTATTTAATAATTAAATTTATAGTTTAATCCATGTTCAAAGGCATACCAATGAATTTCTATATGCCAGTAAAAAGTATTTTAAAATTTCAAATTATGTATTTAATATACTTTGTTTATGTAACTATCACACATTGTATTCATTAGGAGCCTCAGTAGAATTTCATATGCTCCAGTCATGAGCCACAGCCACATCCTAAGTAAAAACTTTGTCCGTATAAATCCATGATGAAATTTTTTACAAACTGATTTGAGTTAAAACCCAAACCGTGGTCAAAACTGGTCATTACTATTATAATGTTCTGGGAATAGGCAGTGTTTTGCTTTCTACAGGAGCTTAGAAATTCATATGAACAAGTTCTGTACAATACCAAAATTTTTCTTGATTTAATTGCAATTATGAAATTAATAAAGCAATAAATGATATATAATTTGACAATCTTTTGCAAATTTTATGATATTTTCTTATATGTCTTACATATTAAATCATCTAAGGAAAGTCATACAAATCATATTTAAACTACAATAAAGATTTTCTTATATAGGTAAATTTGTTTCTTCAATATATTTTTGCTTCCTGTTTAAATAAAAATCAAGCATTAAAAGTAATAGAACCTGTTTCTTACACATTATTAACTTCTAGATGATTGTGCTGCTTCTTGCTCCATTGGTTCATCACTCTGCTGAAATACCGATAACGTTTCCTCTTCGTCTACTTCCATTAATTCTACTGGTTCCTGTACCTTTTTACTCGTAGTATTTTCTATTACTGTATCACTATTTTCAATTTTAATCATAGTAGAAGTAGTAATATTATTACCTTCCAATTCTGTTATATTGCTATCTTCAACACACATTTTATCTTCATTTCTTGACTGATTCATTGCTATAGGATTTTGATTTTCTTGATTTTCTGATATTTCAACAATTGATGCAGTACCCTCTACTTTTGTATTAACAGCCTCAGTGTCTTTTGGTTCCTCAATAATGGGTATTGGATCAGGTACTATAGATTTTATTATTCTAGTTTCATCTTCTATAGCTTCAGTTATAGTTAGATTATTTTTTTCTTGATCGCAATTGAAATTTTCTGTTGCATTATCTTTGGAACATGGTTCTTCCACAATAGGTTTGGAGTCTTCTGTTAGTTCTGCTTCTTTATTGAATTCCTTTAAGTTCTCTACATCTACAGGAGTATCCTCAGACATGTTTGTGGATGTGCTTTCTTCTGTACTTACATTATCAATAATTAGACTTACATCATTACTAGACTTCTCTAAACTGTTTTCTGGAGATGTATTTCCTATGTCAGCATTTTTTAAAGGCTGTTCTTCTTTATTCTCTATGTTTGAACCATGTGTATCTTGAGTAATTGTTTGTGTATCTTCTACCTCAGTACTTGACTTGATCGTATCTTCCAAATTTTCATTTGAAGTATTTAAAAGATTTTCAACAATTGGAGAAACAGATTCTTTGCTATTCTGTACTGTTTTGCATTCAATATCTGATTTCATTGAAACATCATCAACTTTATTTGACTCTTCTTGAACATGAATTGATATTGTTCCAACTTCTGTTTTTTCATTTACTTTAGAATTATCTACATAAAACTTTAATGGCTTACTTTCAGTAGAACTAAAATCTTTTGTCTGAAAGGTAGTTTGCAATTTTCGTGAAGAATCTGCAATTTCACCTCCATCATTTTCCAGTTCCAAACTAGGCTGAGAACTGGTATCTTCGTTCATCATAGCTTCTGAAACATCACTGACAATTCCAGAAGTTTCAGGAACCATGGTCGATAAATTTTGTATTGTTGGTTCTATCTGTGAATTTTGTGCTTGTGTTGAAGAAGTTAAATTGGGAACACTAGTAAACTCTGAAGTTGTAGGTATAAAGTTAGACACATCATTATCTGATTTAGATGTCGATTCTACTTTTTCATGAGAAATCTCTTCTGTACCAAACACATTTTTTACTACAGTAGTAGTTGGCACAACAGTTTGTAACAATGAAGTTTCATTTTCGACTGTAGGTACGCTAATTGTAACTGTGGAAGAACAGTCCTTTTCCCAATATTCCATTTCTATGTCCCGAGGGGGTTGTGTTACTGATGTATCTTCATCTACAGATCCATTGACCATACCATCTCCATTCTCATTTCTTCTAGCTGTTGATCCGGGTTCTCTGGTAGAAACAACCAAGATATTCTTTTCAATAGCTCGCATAAATTTGTCAACTCTATTATACTCCTTACGTGGTGCTGTCAATAACTCACAAATTCGTTGCACGGTAAATGGAGCATTTGCAAAAGATTCTAAACGTTCCAAAAGATTGCTTTTCATAGTATCATAGTTAAAATGTTCGACATTAGGACAAGGTGCGAGATCAAGCGATGGACAGCTTTCGTAGAAATCAGTCATTACGCGAGTAAGTTTTTCTCTGAACAGAGTTTTTATTAGTGGCCACTGATAAACAGGATCACCGGTTTTTGCGACCCAACATAAATAGTCCTCGAGTTCTCGAGGTATTTCGCTTGGACGCATTTTCTGAAATTCGTCTAATGCTTGCAGCACTTCCTCCAAATTTTCCATTTTTTTTCACTTACTGCCCCCTCCGCCTTCTTTATTCACTAAATAATTTCTGTCGACAATTTTCGTCAAACTGCTAGAACCTGTAGCAAAACTTTCAGCAAGAAACAACGAAAAACGCAAACACACCGGGTACTAAATAGAAACAATGAAGGATGGGGGATGAAGCAGGGATACCAACATCTGAAACATATGTCATTGTTGACAGTGTTTGGTTAATTTTTATTTATCATTCCGTTGTGCGATGATTGAAACGATTTACAATTTTTTACATGTACAACGTTGAATGTTTATAACATAGAAGATATTATAATAACATAATATTTAAATATAAAATATATTTCAAGCACAATTTATGTCACTGAAAGACAAAGTTGTGTATACAATGTTTTGTTCATAAATAAATAACTCTTGTATATTTCAAAAGTATGTAATACCGTTTATAAATTATTCTCTATTTGAAACAAAAACGCACTAATCGATTATACTGGAGTTGTATAATGCAAAACTAATTACAGTTTTTACTACATGTTTATACATGTAATAAAAAAAATACAGTTGTAAACAAACCAAGTTTTATAATTTACATTTCTTTAAAGAATTTTCCATAGTTAGTAACGTATTAAATGAAGCTAAACTATATAAATATAGTATAACATTTACTGATAATTATTAATACCTGTTTCCCTCTTAAATTGTAAAAGATACAGAATTGGTAAGCAAAGATTACATGGAAGAGTCTATAATATATTACAATAGTAATGGTTTTCTGTTACACAGATCTGGGACAATCAATATACATGTATTTATTGTTAATATTTCAAGGTATTCAGTATTTACTGACAGTACATATATGTATATTGATTGCTTGAGATTTCCATTAAGTTTAAGTATTTCAAAGAGATGTAAATCTTGTTTGACATACTCTTTAATAGATCAATATTTCCTCATATCATCAAATGACATTAACTTATGAAACTGGTAACAATGATTTAAATATAGATTGTTTAAATGTAAACTGTTGTCACCTACTATTCATTTTGATAAAGTTTATGATTTAACATTAGAATCAGACATTAAGACTTTATAATATGTAAATGTACAAATACTTCTAGTACCAGAATAAATAATAATTTTGTAGTAAATTACGTTTTTTAATCACATAATGAAAAAATATAATTATGTAAAGAATAATAGTGCATTTGAAAATTCCATTCCTATTTCAGTCTTATTAATAGTTGTAAGAAAGACAGATTTATGTTAAAAGATTAATCTCTTTTTATATGAAGAACTTCTTGGATGTTAAATTAAGAATATTGAAGGAAATAATGTACTTCTTTCAAATGCACACTTGGTAGTACTTGAACACAATACGTATATTACAAATTCATACTGAAACTAATTAATCAAAAACATTTTTCAGATTCACTACTTACATTTCAACAATAGTTTAAATTTCATATCATATAACCTAAATAAGATATGCCTGTTCATCTAGATCTACTAGTATTTAATTGAAAAACTACAGAAACACAGTTAATACAAAATGCAAATTTTTTAGCTATCTATATTGTAAATTGTTGGAATATTTTTTTAAAAGAATAATCAAAACATATTTTAGATTCTGATATAAGGAATATTATGTTTCACTTTTTAACAATCTAAGTATTTATAACTGTATTCCTAAAGTTTTTCTAAATTAACTTTACAACTTTTTATACATTAATTAAATAAAGTTATAAATTACAAAATAATAACAGAATTATTACACAAACATAACATCTTCAACTAAAATAAATATGCATGTACTTATATGCAATGTAACGAACGATATTTGATTATAACATTAGAAGTTATATAATATTTATAGAATGTGCATGATTGTAGAAAGTTGGTGGTCAACAAATTCTAATATACATTGCACTATAGGGATCATTTTAAAGGTGACAAACTGATGTACAAATTGGCTCGATTAAAGGTTTAGTAACTATCATAATTTAATGCTACAAGATTTTGTTACTTATAACTATCCAATGAATTGCTATTATTAATGAATTTATAAAATCAAACATATTACCATATTTTAATATTTAATATTTTTTAAAAGTTTTGATTATTTAGACATCAACCACCATCTTCTTATGAATATCTGTATTACCAACAACCTGAAATCACATGTAACAAACATGTTATGCAGTTACTTTAATTTTAATTTTCTACAATCTATTACTTACAGAACAGAATTCCTCAAAACTAATTTTGCCATCTTCATCTTTGTCAGCAAACAATATTGTTTTATCAACAATTTGTTGAAGTTGTGTATCTTTCAAATTATTGCCTACCATCATTTTTAGTACTTGGAATAATTCACCATTACTTATGAAACCATCATTATCCATATCATAAATTCTAAAGGCAAATCTTAATTTGCTTTCTTTGTCACCCTTTACAAAAAAGACAAAATATACTTAAGGAAACCTTTTCGATAAAACAATAAAATTGTTGTACACACCTTAACACTGAATTGAGAAACACCATGAATAAATTCCTTAAAATCAACTTCTCCATTACCATCAGCATCAAATATATCTATTACACGTTGAACTAAAGGATTTTGTTGTAACTCTGGTAATGACATAAACTCATCAATACTTAAAGCACCACTATTATCCAGATCTAATTTTCGAAATCGTTTTCCCAATCTTCTAATTTCATCAACATCAACTGACACATTAATATTTTTATTTTAAAAATATGTTGATAATGTAATACAAGGAGACAATACACAAATACATCACTATGAAGCAGTATTATAATACAACAACATAATAAATATGGTATCTTCTACTTTACAGGTGCTATGTTTAGTTGTTGTTAAAAATAAATCAGAGGCAATAATTATAAAAAAAGGAAAAGAAAAACAGAAAATTGTTTTACAGACAAATTCATATAAATATTGTTAAATTTAAATTAAAATAAACACACGATATAATTTAAATAGTTTCAAAAGTAATAAAATTTATATTGTAAACGAAAAAGTACGATCAAACAGAATAGGTTATTTCGAGGTATCAAAAATAACGTTCGATATTAACTTACAATTAGAACAGAGTTCCATAGGCAAAGAGCTCTCATTACCCTAAAAAAGGAATACCATAAAATAGTACATATATTTTCTTTATTTAAATTTTATTCTATAGAAGAGAAATAATTTCAAAACGATAACCATATAATATTTTCAGTAAAAACAAATTTGAAGAAAAACGTAACGAAACTGTAATAGTTCGATTAATTCTTTATTGAAATATAATAAATTAAAATTTAACACCCTTTATTACCATTGTGAATTTGCGTTAGAAGATTCCTTTTCAAAATTCACTAAAAAACGTCAAAATTGATCAGCAGATATTATTTTATGGTTGATAACCAATGAAAAGTAAACAAATATAGATAGGGAGCTACACCACAGTAAATGTGAATCGAGCATGAGCATGATAAACCGTGGAACGAAATGGAATTTTTAGTCATTTTAATCCTATAGATGTCACGTCGGTCAGTGAATTCATTTTAAGTTTGAATTAAAAGTGTCAGTTGAAGCAAAGACGAAAGGAATTCTATGCAATTGTAAGAACAATTGATTTGATAAAGATACTTGTAACATACTTAAAGTACGAGTCATTATGACTAATTTAGAAGTATTTAATTCTCCTCCCAATGTTCCATCAGAGTACAAAGAAATTATTCATGATACCTTATGTAAAATGGAAGAGCATGTTGAAGCTAGAGGCTCAAGGTATAAACAAATAATCCTTTTCATAATAATTAAAAAATTATTAAATTATAAAGCAAAAATTATTGTTCTATAGGTACCAATGGAGTTTAAGTGATTTTGAAATTGGTGCACCTTTGGGTCGTGGTAAGTTTGGACGTGTTTACCTGGCTAGAGAAAAGACCACTCAGTATATGGTGGCTTTAAAAACTTTGTACAAAATAGAGTTAATGAAGGGACGTGTTGAAAAACAAGTAATGCGTGAAATTGAAATTCAAACACATCTGAGGTAAATTTACTTATAAATGCGTACTTTCTTTATTTTTTAAATGTATTATAACATATAATTTTTAGGCATCCTCATATTCTTCAAATGTTAACATATTTTCATGATCACAAACGTATTTATCTTGTACTAGAATTTGCTGCTAGGGGAGAACTATATAAGGAATTAAAACGTCAACCGTACGAAAGATTTAATGAACACTTGTATGTTTATTTAAAGAGTTTTAATTTTGTTTTATGGAACATAGGTTCATTTTATTAAAGAACTTGTTTTGTTTGTTAGGTCTGCAAAGTATACATATCAGGTTGCAGATGCATTAGAATATTGTCACAGAAATAATGTAATTCATAGGGATATAAAACCAGAAAACTTATTACTTACATATGAAGGTGATGTAAAATTAGCAGACTTTGGTTGGTCTGTTCATGCACCATCATCTAAGTAAGTGTATTTAATAAATATTTTATGCAAATTTTAAATGCTATTAAAAAAAAATTACTATGATAATGATTTCAGGAGAAATACATTATGTGGAACATTAGATTATTTGCCACCAGAAATGGTAACAGGTCAAAAATATGACATATATGTTGACCATTGGTGTTTAGGTATTCTCTGTTATGAATTTCTTGTTGGTAGGCCACCTTTTCTTAGTGATTCTCAACAAGAAACTTATGTTAAGATAAAAACATTAAATATACAGTGGCCAGAACAAATTACACCTGGAGCTAAAGATCTTATATCAAAGGTAATGTTTTAAGATTGATTATTTTTTCATTTGCATAAATAATAATTTCATTTTTATTATAGTTAATTAAAAGAAAAAGTTCAGAAAGAATTTCTATGGCTGCTGTAAAGAAGCATTTTTGGATTGTAAAAAATAAGGATGCACGTTAACATAAACAATTTGTAAAATAAATTAGAATATATTTTTTACTGGGACAATAAAGAACATTAGGACATTAAAGAAATAATTCATAAAGTTTATTTAGTATATAAATGAATTAGTGATATTTACACTCGTTAATCAATAAAAAACAGATATTTTAAATAGCCAATTCATGGCCAATCTAAATTAATACCTGTCACATCCAATGCAACTATATCTACTTCACAATTGAGAATATCACATAAGCTCGGTGTAGTACGTTTAAAATCTCCGTGTACAAATTCTTTCACATATGTTCCCGCTTGTGTTTTAATATCTAGTACGAAAAACTTATTAACATCTTCATTTGCAGTGTCTAACAAATTTGTTAGTTCTTCAGGTTTTGCCCAACGAGCTCTCATTTCGTATATTAAGCGGACTCTAGGACATAAAGGTCTTCTATGTAATACCCTTATTGGTGTTTTTTGAGTTATTTTCACTCGTTTTAAATTATTTAATTCTTCGAGCGAGACTGTATTTTTCGATGCATCGCGACATATGCACAGTGCTCGATAACATTTTGTTTTAACGTTTTCACCTTCCTTCAATTTTTTTAAATCAGGTGTAGATAAAATTTTTAAATTTGACGTAATTTGTACTTGTCGTGAAGCCTCATTTACTTGAGTGACTAAAGTTGATAACAAGTTTTCTGTTATTTTTGTCATTCGAGGATTAATTAATTCAATGGCAAATGGTCTTCCTCCGTGTATATTTCTAACATCAACATCTTCTCTCCCAGATGATAAAAATTTAATACCTACACATGTAGAAATAATATTATACATTAGACAAAATCGCATGTTGATTAATTAATACTAATAATATTTAAATATTGACTTACATTGAGGTTTCACTGCTTCAATCATAGGATTACATATTATATCTTGAACAGATGTTGGCATTTTTTTTTCTCCATTTATAAACCATGGTGTTTGACTAAGTTTTCTTGATAATTTATTGTATTTACCTAAAATTACAATATAATGTATGTATTAAATAAACAATATTAAACATTTACTGTCTAGATATTAAAAATTCTAAAACATTACCTCCAATAAAAATACTTGAGTGTGAGCATAAAATATTTTCTACTTCAATACTATCAGTTGTTTCAAATGACACAGTTTTGAAATATTCAGCAAAAACTTTATCTGTAATATTGGTCATTAAAGTTTCTATACATTTTCTACTGAATCTGTTATCATTACATTCTCTTTTCCTTTTACTTGTAGTTGGTTTTAATCCTCTGCTCATATTTAATCTATAACAAAGACATTGAAAGCATTATTTAACTAAGATAAAAATTCTTGACATAAACTTCTAGGTAAAGATTTAAAATATAACTTATAAACTTACAAAGAGCCACATTCTGTTTCATTATTCTTATATGCCAGGAAAATTTCAATAAAAAATGCAGATGGTGTTGTTAAATCTGCCTGCTTCTTAATTGCATTTTCTATTTTTGGAATCATTACCCATTTCCAAACATCTTTAATATTCTGAAGTTTGACTTTAAGATTCAGTAATGTATCTTCTGAAAGTTTAAGTTCAGTGGCACATTGAATATGTAACAAACGTTCTCTGATACTAATGCATACAGGTATTTTCAATGCACACATAAAAGTTTCACTGTCATAATTTTGTTTCTGTACTTCATCTTGAATCTGTTCATAAAATTATTTGAAATTTATATAGAATATCTATGCTTTGAATTAAATATTTGCACATACTTTTTGAATAACTAATTCTTGTGTTTTATTTTGAAGAATTCCCAAGCAAGCCACACATAGTGCATCATCAGTGAAATTATCTTCTATGTCAATATATTTTGACTGTAAAACAAATATTTATATTTTATTATATGTAGGAAAAACTCATGAATATAACTTACACGTTTTGCAAATTTAACAGGGTCTTGAAAGCAATCTGGCATACGCCACCCAAGAAAACGGAAACAACATCTTAAGCAACAATTTCGTTGCTGTAAAAAACTAAAAATTTGTCTTTCTTCTTCAACGAAAAGATTCATTTCAATAAAAGATCTGTAAATTATTTCAATGTTTAAGTCACGTGTAATTTTAAATAACAAACTATGAAAACATAACATTCATATAACTTATATATTCTTACCAGCAAAAATATTAATATTTAGAAGTATGATTCTTAGTTATTTAAACTTCCAAATTCTCAAATTTTGCAAATATTCAAACTTCCAAAATCTTGAATTTCCAGGCTTCTAAATACCCAAACAAATCTAAAGGTTCCATTTCATGTGTTTGTTTTGTGACGACATTTAAGCGCGGGTAATACAAGATACATGTAGTGGAAGATGTGACGGATCATTCAAAACAAAGTGTTCGCTGTACATAACAAAGATATTATATTGTTGAAACAATGGTATATAGATATAAAATAAAAGTTTCATATATTCTTTTTAATCGCTTTTTAAAAGTTAATATATTGAAAGTCTCGAGTCATGTAAAATCGAATCAAATTATATTTACAATCTCGATAATGTTTATTTATAAAATCATAATTTTTATAAAACTTGCAAGCAGTTAAGCGTAAGTCCGCTTTTAAATCAACGAAAACTTGTATTAATGTTAAAACGACAAATGTTAGTAGCGTTGCAATAAGATTCGTTGACTTCGGATCATCTCTATGGATATATATTCGTTTAAATAAGGGTCAAAGGAGAGGAGCTACGCTTATTTCTCGTAATGCACCTACATCGCGGATGAAAATAGATTTTTCGTTGTGAAGTCACACAGATGCTCTAGATATAATTCGTGGCAATTCCGTGAGTGAATTGGCAGCCATTTTTAAACTGCTCACTTAGGATAATAGAGTAGAGAGGACACGAATAATGAGAAATCGGATTGTGAGATAGTAACGTGTAAACGCGTGATATTAAATGTAGTGTAATCGGGTGCGAAGAATAAAAAGACAATTCTGCGCTCGCGAAGTGTGGGTGTTCGTTTCGAGTAGACGGTACTCGAGCGAATGCACTTCTTCCCCGTGAAATTGACGAAATGGTGAACTGTCAACACCTCTGCAACATGAGAATATGAATATAATTCGAATCACCGCGAAGAGTGAGAATCGGTTTGTTCGAGGATTAATCGCAAAGATCGTGACAGGGACAGATAGTTCGAAGCCGAAAGGCCCCGGCTAACAGCGATGTCGGTTTTAACATGCAAGAGAACAACGAATGCAAAGATCGTGGCTCTCGAATGTTAAGTTCCTATAATAATGGCAGATAATGTACACAGAAAATCGCATAAACTATCGGATGGTAGTAGGAAAACATCTAATCCAGTTCATCGTACGACCACCGAGACGATTCGGTTAGGAGAGCCAGAGAAACTGTACCAGCCGGTTAGTTTGACCACCTCGAGCAACGTGACGGCTAACAATCAGTGTCGGAAAAAGACATCATCCTTTCAAATTACAAGCGTTAGTAGTCGCATGAGCAACGATGCCGGCGAAGATTCGAACGACGATCTGGATGAATCCCACACGGAAGATAATTCAGTCGAGCACTCGCGTATCACCGACATTGATATCGAAACGCCTAGCTACTCTGAAGATACCTTCTCCAAGGAGGATGTATTCTTTAATACCAGTAATGCTGCACTCAGTACTGCTCCGGTGATTCCTACCAGTTCTCAGTATGGCCTGGCAATTGTACCTTCTGAAGGGAATAATGTCAGCAATTCGGTAAATGACAGCAATATTAATACTTTGGACATTACATCTGTTACTGACAACAATATTATTAATTTACTATCGAGTAACGCGAAGCAAGATGCAGATCTACGGGAAGTTCATTCGCATGGTAGAAATGAAAGATTTAAAGTGGTTAAAATTGAAAGTACTGAGCCTTTTAAAAGAGGTAGATGGACTTGTATGGATTACTTGGATCATACATCAGTCAATCAACCAACGGCGATTAGTACACCTAAAGTATCAGATCCGAACGAGGTATGCATATCGTATGGAGTAACAGACAGTGGAATTGTTGTACCTGATGCACCTAAACAGTCAGTTGTATCAGAAGATAAAGGTATAAGTATTGATGCTAATGGACAAGTATCCACGCTTCCAGATGTGCATACTTCAATTGGTGTACCAAGTAACCCTGCATCGGTTACTAGTGCTACTTATGCAGTAAGCAACTCACTTCCTCCTAATGCACAGCATAATCCAACACAAGTTCAAACGCAGACTAAAGTTCAGGCACCTTCACAAATTCCCCAATATTTTCAATCGTCTGCTCAACAATTGGCATCGCAACAGCAGCAACAACAACAAGGAGGACAAGGTTCTACGTTACCATCTAATCTGCAACCAACTCATCCGAACAATTTAACTCAGTCTCAGAGTATGCCACAAGGTTCTATTCCTATTATAACACAGACTGGTAATAGCAATGTGACGGCTCCACAAAATATACCTCATTCGAAAGAAGATACATACGTAACAGTGAGCACACAGAATCAGTCATTGCCAGTTCAAAATGTTTGTCAGCCATCCGTTCAACAAGCACCTGTACCAACATCTCAGGCACCTAATATTCTTGTTACACAACAACAGCAGCCACAGCCTCAACAACAGCAGCAGCAACCTCAGCAGCAACAACAACAACAACAACAGCCTCAGCAGCCATTGCAAACCCAGAAACCAATGACTCAGATTTCAGAGCCATTGACTGCCATACAAGGAATGCAGGGCATCCAGAATATTCACACAGTTCCTCAAACAGGTGCACAGCAAACTTCCTCGACTATTCATGCTCCTGGAGCACCGGTACAATCTCAAGTGATACCGCCATCTCAGATGCAACCCCAAACCTCTGGTAGTAATGCTCAAGTGCAAGTGGCACAGGTGTCAGCTAACTGCCAAAATGTTGTAGGCGGTATACAGCAAGGAAATATAGCGTTTCATCAACCAGATCCGGAGCAGGACTCCATTTCAGGCATTGTAGCTGGATCCGCTACTCAATCAGCTAATACAACCCTTTTAGAATCTTTAACAGAAGTTACTCAAGGCAGTGATGAACATCATACCCTCGAAGACAATGAAAGGTATATATTCTAGAATAGTTTGAAGCTTCTCTTTATAGGAATATACAATGTTTAACAAAATTGCAAACTTAATTTCTATGGTAGCTACATTGCAGTAAATATTTTTTTATGTACTTTTTATTACAGTATGTCAGGGACTAGTGCTGTAGCGATTGATAATAAAATTGAGCAGGCTATGGTAAGCATTCTTTGCTGAGGGTAATTGTTAAATAAAGATAGCAAAATATGATGTTGGAATTAATAGGGAATGCTTTTTAGGATCTTGTTAAGAGTCATTTGATGTTTGCTGTACGAGAGGAAGTTGAAGTACTCAAGGAGAAAATAGCAGAGCTCATGGATCGTATTAATCAATTAGAAGCTGAAAATTCAATCCTAAAAACACATGCGACTCCAGAAACATTAGCTCAATTGAGCCAATCAACTGCAAAATTACCCCAAAACAGTTCAGGAAGTGGTCAATAGGTAACGATTGTACATAAGTTTCTATTAATACTTTGTCAAGTACATAATGGATAATATAATTATTGTATATAACTTTACGATTTTTAGAAATTTATAAACAATGAGATTTATTATATTATACATATTAGCATTAGCAATTTTTTTTAAGTAAATTAAAGATAATAGATTATTTTTTACTATTTCAGTTTACTGTTTAGGAAATATAAATAATAATTTAAATCTGTAAATTTGATTTTCTTTCAAAATGATAATCATTTTGGAAATATGTATTGTTATGATCCTAGACAGAAAAAAAGACCTATATGAGTGCATGCCAAGACTAAGCAGAATAAGTAACGGAGTTAATATTGTTTTATGATAGATTCAAGATTTTGAACATGTTAAAAGAAAGTATATAACAATATGAAATAGGCAGCTAGACATTCCTAGATTATTTTTCCTATTACCTTCGCATTTGGCCAATTTCATTCACAAATTCAATTACAAAATTGGCAATTCAACCTTAGAATTTAATGTTCAAAGAACATTTGTACCTTTTACATTACGTGTGATTTTATGTTAACATTTTATTGTCATTTTCATTCATAAAAACAGTTTTTTTACGCGAAACTATGTAATTTTCACTGTTATTAAACATCAAATCCCATATTTTGTAATCTGTACTCGTGTTGTAGTCTGATTTTCGAAGTTGTATGTATTATAATCAACAACATGCTGATATCCAGGGAAATAGTTACTATTACTGGTGTGCATTAAAAACAAAAAAAACATCTACAGTTTCCTGTCAACATTTTATGTTACATCTTAAACATGCCTAATAAAACAAATTTTTAATTGTATAATATTTTGTTAAACTTCCTAACAAAAATTAAAAATATACTTCTGTGATGTAAAATAAAAAGATGGAATAATTTAAAATATCATTTTCTTGATTACATGGGGTATCGTTAATTTATTCATTTGTTGATCACTTTTGAGAAAGTTTTATTTGATCACTATAAAGACTAAAGAGGACATTTAACATAAAATCTTATGATGAAAACCACTTTTTCAGTAAAAGAAATCAGAATTCATAATTACAGCTTATAAATTTATAAATGTTATAAATTTTTTCTAGGAAGGAAAAAAATAACAACATACAACATTTTTTTTCTCATATCATTATCAATAATGTGACTTCTTTTTAGGGCTATTGCGCACAAACATGGTCACATAATATATATGATATACATAACGTATATATAATATGTATTATATTATATATATCTTATGCATATATATATACGTATATATAATTATATATATTTATATATATTTATATCTATAGAATCTATATATTCATACAAATCCGAAGTTCTTTGTCTTAATAGCAAGAAGTAGTTTATGTCTTAATACGTGACGAGAGCTGTACAATGGAACATATAGACGGGAAATACATGTATTTGCAGTTGGTAGATGAGCATCATCTGCTGGTCGTAACGTCACAGTCGGCATTGGTTGAAAACCATCTTCGCTTGCGGGTAATGCTGGAGATCCTGTCCAAAAGTATAGCTGTAATACAAAAACATAATTTGTCACATTATTTACAACTCAACAAATATCATTTAATAATACATATTACTATAAAACAAATTTTTTTTTAAAAAAGAAGTTAAACATAATTTAATTATTTTTAAAAAATGTAATTAATACTTGAGTAAGAAATTCTTTACCAAGTCTTGTCGTTCTGAATGTGTCATTTTTTCAACGATGGACCACAACCATCGTTTAAATTTTGCCAATCTATCCGCAGATTCTCCTGATTCGTCGTTAAATGAAGTGTACGATATCAAAACGGAAACGTTAATATCACCGACTCCGTTTAAAAGGAGTCTCAAATCTTCGGATGTTAAACCATCAAGTGACCCTTCTGGTAGCACGTCGAATACCCCCTCTCTCATAGCACGTAAAGCTTTCTCTTGTACCTTGATCATGCGAACTTCCGCATATTTTCGTACGTAATCATAAACGTTACTCGCTGTTACTTCTATATCACGACCGTTAGGCATCAGTTCAATTGAACCACCTCCTTCTTCGGGACATAAATCAATACTGAAACAGAATGAAACATATAATAAAAATTCAGTTTAAAAGAGAACAATTATAGACTACGTACCTAAAATTAAGATCAAGGGTAGAAAATAAACTGTTGCTGTCCTTGGTCTCAGAATCATTAACGAGTTGCCTTAGGCTTTCATAAATTACAGAATCAAAAAATGCAAGGTCATGGAAACGGATTGATCTTCCCAAAATGTATTTTATCACGTGACGATTCAAGAATATTGGGCACAATTCGTTTTGCAACAGACACAATCCTATAAGTCTGTAAGAAGAATATTATCAGTTAATACTTTAGTACAATGTTTGATTTTTATTCCCATCGTAATACTAACCTGCCCACGTTTCTGAACGCGTTCAGTCGCTCGTAGCTGGCTCTCCCTTGGCGCGGCGTGTAAAATCCTCTTTTGCCCGGAGAGTAAAAGAGAGGAGCGTTGTCTTCTGTGTCATCCAAAATACTATTCTCCATCTTTTTCTTGTTGGCTCCACATCGTGCAATTAAACTGAATACATCAAGATCTAACAGTGCTTCTCTTGTTGCCTCCTGACTATGACTACGGATTAATTCAAATGCTTCTTCTACTTTTTGCCGCAGAGCGTCTTCTGAGGCTAGTAACATCAACAGCTGTGCAGGGAGTAGTTCCAACAGCATTCCAGTTATTTTGTCAGCTAATGCGGGCCGTAACGCATAAACCTAAAAAGAAATAATTACCCTGAATGTTTTGAACTTGATCGGCCCATTATATTAGCAGTAGAACGTAAGAAACTTTCTTATCACCTTTGGATACAGTCTATCACCAAGTTGTTGCTGATGCATGGTCAAGTGTTCATTACTTGGATGGCTAACAGGTAACGGATGGGAATTGGAGGACGAACTACCGGCTCCAGAATTGCTACTTCCTTCGACAGATGTGGATGGATGGAAAACACGAGCTTCGAATGATAAAGCTCTTCGTGGCTCTCGACATTTTCCAGAAGATCGAGTGTTCTGGAATGAAGATACCGTGAGCGAAGAAGAATAACGCGTTCTATTTAGTCTTACTGATTGTACTCACTTGTCGTCTTAATTCACGATCGCGGTCTCTACTTTTTAACTTCTGAAGGACGTTATATTGTGTATATTTGGAGCCTACTTGCGCTGCTTCGAGATTAGGCAACTTTTCGTTCGCAAGCAATGCCTACGAAAAACATATACTTACATTAGTTTCTAAGACAAGCAGAAACAGTGCTAATGTTAAACATTGAAGCGATTCTACTGAGATTAGCTAGTTGATTTTAACTAACAGTTAGTCAAAATCACTATGGTAATTCATGAGGACTTGTTCTATTTAACATCAAGCGCGCTTGCACTTTTCCGCTAGTCATATTAAAACTGTCACAAAAACTTTATATTGTACGCAAGTTAAATTTACTTAACAAAAATAAAAATAATTTTATTACAACATTCCCTGTAATAATAGCAGCCATGATTTTTCTCTTCATCATGATGTTACAAACCTCTGCGATCGCGGTATAAAAACTTCTAGTAACACCGGAGCCTTCACCAGGTTCATCCTTGAAAATCACTTTAACGCGATTTACTGCTAACGGCGGAGTATTAGACGCACGCCTGTTATATAAATTGTACTGTGTGTTTAATTCCTTCATCGTTTGCACTAATAGCTGCGTTCTGTCTCGTTCAAGCTTAAACAGAAGATGTATCACGTGAAAATAAAACCTAAGCTTTTATTATCGACAGTATTGCGATTATTTACTTTTAATAAATTAATATCTCTCTGTTGTGAATTTCGAAGCTTCTCCATATCTCTGCGGAACTTCGCTTCTTTTACCGAGAAACCGCCCAGCTCAGACACAACTGATCCAGCTTCCAAACCAACGTCCTCCATGAAAACTCGTCCAAATAAATCAAGAGACAATCTCCAACGACCCAGTAAGATGTTATGCGATATATTACTGCCGATAGTCGGAATTGGATTTGTTTCAACTGTTTCCTGAGCCGTAGATGTTTCGTGACTTGAAGTTGGTGGATCAGTTTCTTCCGATACGATTTCCATCTCGTTTGATACCACCATCATTTCTGACGCCCCCGCCTTGTTAGCGTTCGATTCCTTTAAAATGAAATTTATATAAACTCACATATTTAGAAATTTGTCCTAACAGTTTTATATTTTATCAAATTTAATTTGAAACATTAAATTTACCGAAACTGTTCCAGCTCTAACGATTACGCTTCTATTCATTTTACATATATCCTTATTATTTTTGGTACTTCCTGCTGCTTGCTCATTTTGATTGTTAGTGGAAACTATAATCGGCGCTCGATCAATTTGTTCAGCGGCAAGTGTGTGGTCATTCGGCTGACTGAACGATTTTGCCCTTTCCTGTAACATAGAAATTCAAACGTTAGTTTCATAACATAGATATATGTCAAAAGAATTTGGTAAAAATATACAAGCAAATGTTGGTGTCGCTATCATTTACAGTAATGAAAATAAATAACAAAATATTACCGCTGGCTTCGCAGACGTCGAATCTCCAGCTGACATAGAACTACGCTTTGCATCTGATGACAGAAAAGCAGGTCCTTGAATTACTTGACTGGATGTAGGTGAAGAAACATTCTGATTATCAGTTCCTCGTGCAGACAAACCAAGCCTTGTGGGCAATCCTGCTAATCGATTTTGATTAGAGCCTGAATTCAATGCGGACTGTCTTGGAATACCAAAAAGATCTTCGCGTCTTGAATCGGGTTGTAGTAAATGCGGTTGGTCGGCTAGAGGTAAAGCTTCACTCATGACAGTATCAAATGGATCAAAGGGTGGACAACCAAGGGACAACGTAGAGTCTGATCTTTGGAGGAAAGGATGTTTCCTCCCTTTCGGTGTGCTATTAGTGCTATTTCCAGAGCCACAAATAGGAACCTGAAGTAAGTCAGGATAATCGACAGAGTCTGTTTCTAATGCGGTAGGTACTGGAGAATTATATTCTTCTCCTTCGTCATTGTCGTTTTCATCCTATGATGTATAAAACGTTATAAAAACAATATTTGACAGCGATGAAATTATGGTTGTATTTCACACGTTCTCATTAGCTCTGTACAAACCTGATCGTTCCAACTAGAGTAGTTCGACGATTCCTTCTGAGTCTCTCCCCGAGATGACATCGGTTCAGAGAGCGAGCGCATGTAATACACTAGCGCATCGAAAACATAAGCAACATGTCTCAGCGCGGAAACGTCTAACACCGGCAAGCTGTCTCTGTGTTCGCCATTGTGGGCACGCATTAAGGACAAGCAATAAGATAAAAATTCACGCCTTGCCGAATGTGCGTCGCTGCCTAAAAATAAAAATACTTAATTCTAGTTTACAAAATGTTATTCATACTAGTTAATAAAATTCACTCGAGTGTAACGTTTCCTTTGATTAAGTCTACAGTTAAAACTACAAGACTAAAATTATTTTTAGCTAAAACAAGTTTACGTTACATTCGAGTATAATACATTTACAGATGTATACCTTCGCGTTCTCTACTGCTTCTTGAAGGTTCGCCAACGCCTGCAAAACCAACCGTGAGTCTTGTAGAAGCTTGTGGAGTGGAGATATTGGAGCTCGTAGCGATACCACTGCGTTGATTCCGACCTGCATTAGACTGTAACGTCAAAGACAAAGCAGCTGTATTCAATAACCCAGTGAAATTGCCTCCGGATAAAGATGGAGCATTGTTCAGGGGATGCTCTGGGTGTGTAGGATCTGCGCTACGTGTCAATGATACTCCAAATCTCAATTGCGCTTCTGTGGCATCCATCACTGTGAGTAGCCAATCCCACGTGGGTTTTAAATGCGCTTCCAGATACATCTGTAATTATTCAAAGTACTTATATTGTATCCGCTTAGACTCTTACTACGTTTACTAAAAAAATCATACCTGTAGATTCAGTGCATCTTGGTAAGAGATCTCCATCAATCGTGGCAAAGAAGGTGCCTGCATTTTGTAATCTTGCATCATAACTAAAAGATCAGCTATCTGTCGAATTACAATTCCAAATGCACGTGCTAAACAACTGGTAGTAGTGCCCATTATTATGGGTTCTTGTGCAGCTGCAACGGCAGACGTCGCAGTAGTGCGTCTCAAAGAAGCCGAATCAATAAACCCAAGATTACTGCCACCTGTTACCCGTAATCCTGCTGTGCGTGTATTCATTTCGCGATTACGGATCGCCCATTGCATCGAGACGGGTGCAAGATTGTTACGATGTAAATGGCCGGATGAACCACTGTAATCGGTAATCAATAATGTAACAAATTTTGATATATTAAAAACAGATATATCTATACATTGAAATTAGGGTTTAAAGTTATTTAAAATACCTTCGACGTTCCAACTGTTCGTCCCCAATTTGAAAATCTTCATTATCTTGTTCATCGGTTTCACCAGCTTCGCTTTCATCGTCCTCTTGTTGACTCGATTCTCCAGATTCGTCCTCCGGGAATAATAAAATGGATCCCATTCCACCGTCAGATCCTGCTGTAGCGCCGGTTTGTACACTGCGCTGGGCAGACGCTGCATCTTGATTGCTGTGATTATCGTCAGAGTCTGATTCGGTTTCTGCTTCTGCTAAGAGATCAAGTTCTGTATCGGATTCACCGTCTCCTGCTTGCTCTTCACCTACACCGCCGGCATTGCTATCAATTTCACCAAGCGGTTGCCCAGGAACGGTTCCAGAAACTCCAGATTCTTCGTGCTCGCTTATGTCACCATCCACATCCATAGGACCTTCTGCTTATACGCAAGATGTAACTCAATTAGAACCAACAATTTTAGCGGTATGGTTTAAAAAAATAATTAACGTTGTAAAATATACCTTCACCGCCTTCTGTTTCGTCCATAGCAGAAACATCTCTGGCGATAGTGATGTTATTGTTTCCTTGCTGCGTTTGCAAGGCAGCGTCTAAAGTTTGGGAGCTGACACCACTGTGAGGTATCAGTGGTTCTATGGAGAACAATTCTTCGGAGCCATTTATTACTTCAATTGCTGAGCTGGTCAATGTAAAGGGTGCCGTTGGACGAGCAACGCCTAATCTGACCGGTGCTATCAATGAGTCAGCAGTTTCGCACAACTCCTCGACTGCTAATTTGATCAGTGCTTGAAAAACTTTACGGCATTTCATCAGGGGTTGCGATGCTTGACTGATGTTTCTTCTCTTCGTCGTATTTGGTGCCATTTCTATCGTGAAGATTACAAATATTCGAGCCACGGATCGTACAAATCGGCGTGCTACGTTATTTGCTTCCTCTTGTCGCCCAGGTACAGTATCGTTTTGCAATTCGCGTATCAACGTTGTCAGTAAGGTGTCGAGCATTTCGGCGCTGCATTTAACTAACAGTGAGTGAGTGAATTTGTCAAGCAACGCAGTTCCACTTTGACGGCACAACTGCCCTTGGTCTCCAAACAATTGATCATTGCTATTCACGGATACTCCTGACATTATCATGCATTGAACAGCTGGCCAATCGTTCAATAATCTTTCTAAAGCCTTTCGGCTAAAACGAGGAGGTTCCAGGTCATGATCCGGCATGTTGGCTTCAGCAGTCAAGCCATCGGATGACGGTCCTTTACGACTTCCGGACGTTGAACGCTGCCGAGGTGCAGAACGGCACTGTCGTTGTTCTATTAACTGTCTTCCTACCGTCTGAACTAGAAACAGCAAGATACTTTCTCCCCTTGAATTTATTTTTGTGGCCAGATCGGTATTCACTACGAGTCGACAAAGAAGCTCATAACGAGCTCCTTGATGACCGGCAATCAGAGCACGACATTTACATTTCTCCCAGCAGTCACAGTAGGCTGTGGGAGAAGTAATTTTCATTTTACAATCGTGTCCTCTGTGACAAACGCGAGCACACTCTGTGCAGCAGCATAAGGATTCGGTTAAGCCACAAGTTCGACATTCGAAAATATCCTGATTGATGTGATCGGCACCAGTCCATGTAAAGCTACACGTGTCGTTGCAACAAGTGACAAATAATGGTGATAAATCTGGATTAGCATCAGGAGGAAGTATCATTGCTGAACATTCTTTTTGATCTCTCCCAACTCTTTGAATAGTGTCTAATAAAATGAGAGCTGCGTGATATGCACGGACTGAGACAGCAAGCATTAATGGTGTTTGACCTTGAACGTCCCTATTAATACAGAAATTCAATTAGATTTAAGATAATAAAAATATCTTGTAAAAATTATTAATAAATGCACAATAGTTACTTTGCTGTGAGTAGTTCCTTCAAATGAGGGGCTAATACACTACTTTCGCACATATATTTCAATATAAGCAATGCATTATTTCGTCTTTCAACCGAGTCAATGATGTAAGTGTTATTAGATGTTGCTCCAACGCCTAAAGCAAAAATAATACTTGTTTAGTAATTTGTAATAACATCACATGAAGAGAAGTGAAGACGGAAAGGTATTCAATACACCTTCACCTGATTTATTCATCATAGATATACTGGCAGCACCGATGCTAAGTAAGCTATCTTCTTCACCTGAAGTATTATCGAACGCTTCCGGTGGCCAACTTAAAGTTGGTATTGGTTCTTCAATGGGCGCGGACGGACCATCCACGGTGTTCGAAACTAATTCACGTTCGATACCTTGAAATCGAAATAACCGAGTAAATATCGTATGCTAGAAATAGTCAAAGAATAAATTTAATACCTTGATCATTTTCCTTATTCGAAGTTGGTGAGCACATACTGATGCAAGCATGCAAAATGTTACGATTGCCGTCGCAACGTTCCATGAGTATTGTCTGAAGTTGTGCTAAATTATTTTCTAAAATATGAAATGTCATATTAGCATTTTTTAACAATATTTAAAAAATATTTACAATTGTTATACTTACTGTGATCTTGTTCTAAATTACAGAATACTTGTTTAACGCTATCATAATCGCATCTTAATATGCGTGGCATAAGTAAAAGGCTATCAAATGCTAACGCAATAACTGCAACTTGATTTTTCATGTTGGTCGAATTCGAACAAGTTGGTATAGGAATGGTGGAAGCACCAATACAAAGTACTGGAACAAGATCTAACCAATTTGGATCACGAATAGCATCAGCACAATCTTTTACTAATGGATAAATAGTATTATTCCCATCCCTAAGTATCATAGAACACTCAATATTCTGTAACATAATATTCGACCATTATTTCTGTATACTTTAGATTCAAATTATGCTTTTAATAATAAAAGTTGTAAAAACATACTTCTCCTGCACTCGTCAGATTGATATTTTGTGGCTGTAAACCTAAGAAGGACGAAGTATCTGATGGAATATAACAATCTTGCACGTATCTTCCAGTGCTCAAATTGTATACAACATAACTTAATTTATTTCCGGTTTTCAGTATAGCATGGATACCTGTGAGCAATGCTCATTAAAATATACTATTTATGCTAAGAATATTACAGATGTCAAAATGTTTTAAAAGTAATACCTTGTCCATCTGTAGCAATGGTTAAAATATTATCATTTGATCCTTCCACGATGTTCACTCTTCTAGGCGTTCTTTGGAAACAATCCGGTGCTCTTGGATTCATAGACGATTTTATTACCTGAAAACATAATCCAAAAATGCATAGAATACTTTGTAATTATTTTTATCCACATCATATCTATTTCTATCGAATATTCAATGTACCCGTAACTCGTCTTTCCTTAACAATCTGCAGTCAGCTAGCAATTTGATTGATTCTTCAGCTGTTAAATCCTTAAAATCTGATGTACTGAAATCCTTCTCCTTAATCTCCTTTTCTTTCTCCTTCGAATCTTTTGAAAAGAATTTTACAGCAACGTAGCAACCGTCAACTTTTATAACTTTACCTAAATATGAAACATATTATTAAATATATTATCGATTAATTTATCGATTATTTGTTGGTTACATAAAGCATACCAATTGGTACAGTTTTAACATCCTCTACAAAAACAACGTCCTTTAACTGCCAATCCTCCTCGTCTTTTCTCTCAGGTTCGCCTTCGTTCCGAGGCGTCACTCGTTTTTGTCGTTCTACAAAATTTATATTATTCAACTTTATGTTCATTAAAAGCTTAAGGAATAATTGAGAAATAATATGAAATTCTTACTATGACTTGTTGTAATGCTACCAGTATCACTGCAAGTGCTCGAAGCTGGCGAGGGAGGTGGAGGCATATCAAGGCGATCAGCAGTTTCTTTATGATTGGTCTTATTTATAGTACCCGTTCCATTATTTCCATTTGTCTCACGTTTGTCTACGTTAACACTAGGTAAGTGAGTTCCAGCTGGTAATATTTTGAATCTGTAATTAGCATCTAAATTCCAAGCTGCTACTAACAACTGCCCCACTTTTGGAACTCCATTGGCAATTGTAAATCCTAAAAGAAATACACCCATGTAATTACTCCATAAAATTATGCTAATTAGAAAAAAAGCACCTCTCAGGTTACAATTTACCTATTGCACCGGGTTGATATATAGGACTATTTTTCATACAAACGTGGGTTCCATAACTGATATCATTTGATATCGTAGATGGTCTGTGTTTACGTGATTTAGCTTTATATTTTTCCCATAACTTTTTACGTTGGGCAAACGGTAAGACGCCCCTATAAATATAAATATATTTATATAGTTGTCATAAAGGACAAAAGACATTAGCTTTACTCAATTTAACTCACCACCAATACAATGCACCACTTTCAAGTCTGGCAACAGTGTACAAAGCACAAGTATGAAGAGATACTATTTTATCCAATGTAAATTCAGTAAAAGTTTGAGCTGGATGTTCAAGACGAGAAGCAACATGTCCCAGAAGCTCATCAAGCCAAGTAGCTACTTTGCCACTTTCAGTGCTAACAGAACAACGAATTGCTGTTGCAGATATGTTAATTATCTTTTCTGATGTTATTGCTAACCATGGAGCTTTTGGATGATGTATATTTGGATTCTGAAATAAGTTTTTGTAAATAAGTTTTCTATCCAGCAATGAAATAAATTCTTTGAATACTTACTTCTGGATCTTTGTATGGTTCAGACTCTGACCATTTCCATTGATATAATTGTCCACCGGCAGAAACAGCAATTAATTCACTATACAGTGAGGCAATTTGTACAAAACGAGGAGCAGGATCGCTGCTACGTTCATGCCACCACTCCAATTCTTCTGATATCCATAATGGACTTTGAGATGCCAATTCTTTCTTTTTGTTATCTAATCAGATAGAAAAAAAATTGAAATATTAACAATTATGAGTCGATGAAGGCAAAAGAAAATTTTGTCCATAGATTACTACCTGACTCTTTTTCCCAAGATTCTTTAAGCGCTGTTTCTAACCACCGCCGTGGTCCACAATACTGACGATCCCTCCATCTACTGAAACTATCACGGTCCCGTTCAGATGCACGTTCACCTTCCCTATCATTACCTATTCTGCGTGATGAACTTCCACGGCTAAAAAGATATAAAAATATATAGCCATTTCTTTTAATAAAAAAACTGAATGCAATAAAAAACTAATTACTTTCTCATTCCTGTATACCCAAGCATATCTTCAGAAAACATAGAGTCTGCATCAAGTATAACAGAATGATCATTACTAAATCCACCATCTAGCAATGAAATAAGATCTTCTGGAACATATGTGTCTGCTGCATCTTCCGCATCATCACCTTCTTCATCATCTCGTGACAGTAAATTATTTACTGCTAAATTTACATCTAAATTTGTACGCTATAAAATATATTCCAATATATAAAATAAATCCTTAATGCTGAATGTGGCTCAAATAATTTTATTTAGACAATAATAACACACCTGTAATTCTCTAATAATAAGATTGCGACTTTTTCCCTGCAGAACCACTTGAGCCTGTGAAATGAGATCTTCCGGAACAAATGGAGCAGGTACCAATGCAATAGGACGGGAGCTACTACCACTTCCACCGCCCATAATTACACCTGGAGGCCCTATCCTGCCACCGCTACTACTACCTCCACTGCTGCCACTTCCACGAATTGCAGAACTTCCACGCATAATTCTTGTGCGCGATCTAGACATTCCTGCTCTACTTCCACTTCCACTGCTGTTACCACTGCTTGGTGCTGAATTGGAATTGGCAACATGGTTTTTATTTGTGCTACAATAAAAATATATTATGTAATTATTATAATTATATCAAGGTAACAACAAGACATGTCTTAAATACAGCATATCTATTAATTACTTTCTGTTTGGTTCATTTTTGCTTAAGTCCAATCGGTCTGACAACACCGTAAACGCAACTCTGCAAATTTTATGATCTTCAGTAAGAAGGGCAATGTGTGTTGGTCCAACAACAATACGCTTTACTGCGATCTTCAATCCATTAAATGCTGGTAATGTCACAAAGCCATATCTGTTGATTTTTTCTGCCACTTCCTTTAACCTAAATAAATTTGTATTTATCAAAATGTTAAATGAATAATTACATTGCTACACCTGTATATCTATTATAATTTATTTTATATTCTCTACAATATACTAAATACACCAATAATAACATTTGTATCATTATTACAATGAATAATTAACATTATTAATTTGTTCCTTTAACATTCAATGAATGTAATACGAACATAAAATTACTTTTATTTTAATTTATTATAAATGTAATAAAAAGGTACGACACATACATATATACAAAATATGATTAAAATAATAAATGTACTATATATAACAATATAAAAGAACTATGCAATATTGTGTAAAATTAAGTAACGTATTAACTGTTAAAATAAAAATAAACAACTCAATTTATCAGATGTATTTAACAAACATAATCACATTTATAATGAAATATCGTTTAATACATTGAAAAAAATTGTGATATTTATTCATATAAATTACAGATACAATGTATAATAAAAACTAAAGGTAAATACCTTTTTTATATCTGTACTACATATGCATGCATATATACATTTTTTTTACTTAAACAAGTGTAACAATGACTGCTAAATCCTTACATACAATATTTTATTTTACAAACGATACATACACGCCTATTATTCAACATAAATGAGATAATGTGACAATAAACTCATAACTTTCAAACGATAAATGTAAAATTATTCAATTATTCGTTGAAGATATCGGTATTAAAGTAAATATCGCTATTGCGAAATATAAAAACGAAGGGAAAAACGAAAGAAACGTATGCTGATTGCAATGAAGAAACATGTTCAAACAGGAACAACGAACGAATGATTTCAATACGAAGAAGAGACAGACATACCAAAAAGATACATTAATGGGAAACCGATAATGGATACGTTCCCTTACCTATCATTTAATTGATCATCTGTTCCTGGTAAAGGATGCGCAACAAAATGTATCGATGTCATTTTACTGGTGCGTAAATCTGTTTAAGACCAAAATGACGTTTTAATAATTTTATACACACAATTTCACCACACCACTGAAACGATATTCAGCCATGTTTCTGAAGAAACAACCAGTTACGTGTTCTTGAAAGCAAACGAACTGAACTATACTGGTGTATTCATAAATGCATTAAAAATTCTCACTAACACAAACGTGATCTTATTCAGAAACGTTGAAAATCACGTGTGTAAAACTAATATTCATGAACCGAGAAGCCGTTTTTATGAAAATACAATAGACAGTCCAGATGCTTCGATCATGTCGTATTGGTTTATAAAACGGTAGTTGTATCATGGCGGACCAACTGAAATGGCGACCTAACTGTTACAATTGTTGGTATTTTTAGTAGTGACAAATTGGGAAATTGAACAACATTTTCATTAACCATAATTAATGTAGTATAGAAATATTATTCTCGTGTCAAATGACAATTGATATTATGTTATATATTTATATTGTTATTAAACGAAAGTTTTGTTGCTAGAACTTTCTGTTGCTAGAACATTCAATTACAACAACGCCATCAGCCTAGGAATATAGAGATGGAGTATGGAATTTAAAGACGAACAAACCAAAGCCGTCATGGGAGGGGAGTTTTAATAGCCGATGCCCAAATTTGATAGGTTACTTTTCTGCGCATGTTCGGAGCAATCTGGTTTTCCTAGGGAAAGTGACGGCTAAGGAGAAAAGGACCCCATTACCTAATAAAAAAAGACATGGGCATGCATACATCCACAGGAATCGAATAATCGCTTTCTCAAATAAATGGTTTTATAATTAATATGGTTATAACATAAAATAAATAATAGTTTATGGTTTTTCTTGTAACTGATGCTTGTGCTCGCTGAATGCAACGTTTGATATTCCAGAAATCGCGCTGATGAAATTTGATTATTGATTCTGAGAAAATGAGTACTAATAAACTAGCGTTTTAACAAATTACTTTGTTAGTATAATGTTCTCTAAGATAACCTAATCGCTTGAACGTAGAAATCGTTGAGCACATGCCTTATTACCATAGACTACAAATTTTTTACAAAGTTTGCGCAAACGCAAAAGAAACAAAACTTGTCATTTTCAAGTCATACGTCCAAAAGACAATCTACGTATTGTTGTTAGGATAGTAATCCATGGTTAATGGTCCTTATGTGGGGATGGGAGGCGTGTCTAGAGATAAAGTTATCAAATCACGGTAAAGATTTGTCAGAAAATATAAACGAGTTTTCAAATAGTAGTTCGTTAAATTCAGGTCTTGACGTTACGTGCTTCCCGTGTGATTTGTTGAAAATATAATGGATACGTATGAAAGTGTATTGCTTGTCAAGTCTGAAGTATTTGTGTTTAAAATACCACCAAGGTCAACAAATAGGGGTTATCGGTACGATTTATTTCTTTTGACAGTATTTCGCATAAAAATATTGAATTTCATGAAAGAATAATGCATGCAAAATCGCATTTATACACAATATTTCTTTCACTATTGTTTATGAAATTCAATATTGTACAGATTTCATCAAATTCGGCGTCGATATTTGACACGTCAGATGCATTATATAGAAATTATAAGAAGATATATTATTATATTTGAAGTGTAGTATTATGACATTTGTATTTCTTTATTTTTGTACCCTATATTTTTCAAGAATCATTTTGAAAGTATTTTAAGAGAACATGCCTCTTTAAGTATAGCAATGTTGTCACAGTAAAACAGCATGGATAACAAATTTTTTTTATAAATTATCAAAAATAACAAAATGTATTTTTATTGACATGTACTATTCATATATATATTATCTTCGTATAAGGAAAAATTGTAAGTTATTCATATATATGTATAGAGCAGCTGATTGGAATCTCCAAGAGCCTTCATGGACTGGGCGTATGCGGCTTGTATCACAAGGGGACTCTGTCACCATAAAATTAGAAGATAAAATGACTGGAGAATTATTTGCTAAATGTCCAATTGAGCAATATCCAGGAATTGCAGTTGAACCAGTTACAGATTCTTCCCGTTATTTTGTTTTACGAATCCAAGATGATAATGGAAGATCAGCTTTTATTGGTGTGGGATTTCTAGATAGATCTGACAGTTTTGATTTAAATGTTGCTCTTCAAGATCATTTTAAATGGGTTAAAAATCAAGAACAAATAGAAAAAGAAAAGGACAAACCAAAACAGGAGCTGGACTTGAGATTTAAAGAGGGAGAAACAATAAAAATAAACATGAAAATTACTGTAAGATTTGATTTACATAATATTACATCAATTTTAGATTGTATACCTGTGTAATAGAACCCTTATTTATTCTACACAGAAAAAGGATGGTAGTGAAGTTGCTTCTAAAACAAAGCAACGTCCCAATGCAAATATAGGTTTACCTCCTCCACCAGGTGGTGTAAAAATTGCACCACCACCTGCTAAAACTCCAACTTCGTCGCCTGCTCATAAACCTGTTCAGAATGTCAATCAAACAAATTCAGAATGGGGAGAATTTGCTAGTGCATCACAGCAATCAGGAACTCAGCCACCACCAACAGTAGGGAATGCTAGTTGGGTTCAGTTTTAACTTACAAAGTGTATTAAAGTTTAATATAGATATGCTATAGATTAATAGGCTATACATTCATAATTTTTATGTTCATAGTACACAGGTATGTTAATATGTACCTACACGTGTGCACATATGTATCTTTTAAGGGTAATTATTGACAAAGATGTTTCTTACTACATGGTAAGTTAATCATAATATTTTACTTTTTTTTATGAATTTATATTTGATTTAATTACAAAATAACTTGCGTGGAATAAATTTCATTTAAGTTATTAAGAAAATTTTGACAGTGTTTGCTGATAATTATATATGTAAAAAGCATATTTTCTTACACTTTTTGCTTAAGCAGATTATATAAGATGAGTATAATACTCATATTTTTTATATAAAGAACAACCAGATAAGTTTATTTTCTTGTACAGAGTAGCTTTAAAAAGGTGAAATAACTCAAGTAACAAAAATGAAAAATTTACTTATTAAATAATAATTGTAATTTATGCTATTAAAGCATAATTCTTTACCAATAACAAGCAATTTTATGATTATTTCAGTATTATATAAAAAATATACTGAAATAAACTTTGATATTTTTTATTACAAAGATACATTCTTTGTTGAAGCCCTTAAAAGATTGTAAATCGAATTATGGCATATACTGTCTTAATTAGTATTATTTTTTTGGTGTTTGTACATAAAACAAAAATTAAAAAGGTTCAAGCAAATGTAAGGCCTAATTTTCTAAATGTATTAAGTTTTTAGATTATATTTTGTGTTTAAATTGATACATTGAAAAAGATATTGTCATTAAGTATAGTATATTTACATGTTACTCTCTATTTTTCAAAGAAACAGATTAAGAATTGGTTTTATACTAACATAAATTTTGATTAAACATTTGATTGTTCAACAAAGGTATAGAAAATGCTTGTAAAAATTACGTACCACAAAAAAATTGATTAAAAATACATAGACAAAACACTGTTCTTTCATATATAAAGATATTATTCGAGTCATCATGAAGGAAATTGAGTAATCTACATTCAAAATAATAAAAAAACAAATTTGTTACATATCTCCAATAGCGAAAATGAGGGATATTGTTTTGTGTATATATTAAAAAGATGTTATCAAAACCTTAGGTATGTAATAACTGTAAATTATTTAAAAATACAAAAACATTAAATTAGATCTTGTGAATAGAATATATACGAAAAGATTATTTATATACTCTAGTGTCATTGTAAATGGTGTTGAGTATACTTGTAAATGATGTTGAAAAATGTTGTTAATAATATCTATGTTAATACTTAATATAACAACACCAATATCTTGTAATTCCACAAGTTACATTCCATTGCATATACACATACTCTTATACATGCGTTATGTGCGTTAAATGCAATTTTCTTTTTGTAGGAAAAGAAAAATACCGTTGCTTTTTATTGTATATTTTCACTTATAATAAATTGCAGATTTATTGATACATTAAATAATTATTAAAAATCATATTACAAATAATATTTTGTAAATAGATAAATGATAACAGCAGCTTGAATTTTTTATTCTATCACAAAGTTGTTCTTTTTCTTAGCAAATAATCAACAACGTTTATTACGAGTAACATTAAGTCGCAAACTGCGCATAGCCATAGCGCGACTAAAGTGCCGTTGCACTGGACGTTGGAGTTGTCCATTGACAAGACTAGAGTCTTCGTCACATTCTACACTACTTAGAACTACTAAAAGTACTCCAAGCACCTATAATTAATTAAAATACAATGTACTTTAAATATAATATAAATGATGTAAACCTATTTATATTCATCTGGTATAAAACAAAAGAGTGATATAATTTATCACTTTTATCTCACTTACCAAACATATAATTATCAGTAATGTGTAGATATGTATACTTGCAGCCGGAAGTGACTCTACCTCCATTAAAGCTTCAGCAGCTTCAGAGAGATCTGGCTTTAATTCTAAAGCATGTCGTAAGTGCACAGCTGCTTCTTGGTAATGGCCATATGCCTATAAAAAAAGAAAAAAATAAATATTTTGCAATATACAGAGATTTTTTAATCAGTTAAATATTTTTCAAGCATTTCTCCTTACAGAATAAACACATTGTACATATCAAATATGCAATAAACCTCGAAAGTTATCTTTATTTTTCATATACAATATTTCGTGAAAATAAAAATATGTTCCTAAAACTTTTTAATCACCTTAAATATTTGACCAAGAGTAAGGTATTGTTCCCACGCATTGCGATCTGGAGGTTGTAATTCTAAAGAGCGTCTTGCCAAATATGTTGCATCGTCCAAATATTGTTGAACTAATAACACTCTTGCCAAATTTAATAAAACTTCCGCATTATGCGGTGATACAGCAAGCGCTCTTCGAAAGCACTCAATGGATCTTTGTGCATCTCCTTTTATCCTCCAAAAATTTCCTATTTGATTATAAAGTTGAACAGATTTTGGTTTCTATAAAAAAATGCAATAAAACATAGTATATAACATAACTGTGTAGAAAATATGTATATTTTTGAAAATTATCATATACCTCTCTTTTAGCTTTTATTAATCGTTTTTCTAATAGATCAATGTCAACTTCCATAGTTTTGCCACCATTTTTTTTAAACATGAGTGCTACATTAGGTTCTGGAACCAACGGATGTTTATCCCTATTTGCAACACCGAGCAAATTATCATAATAAGTAAAATTAACTGGCTTCCCACAATCCAAGATGATGTCCTCACATTGACCAGAAGAACACATAATTTGCTCATTTGATACTTGAGTTGATAAAGGAAAAGACTCAGTGGCATTTGGTGTATCCTTCAACACGTATGACGAGAATCGTCTGCCAAGGGGACCAAAGTTAGGGCTTTTTTAACACTGAAAGAACAGTAAGCCACACACAAATACTAACTACAGGAAGGAAAAGAAAATTACATCAGGTTAATTTCAATAATCATTGAAAACAAAATCTAAAATATAAAAAATGATTTTAATTATATAAAGTATACAAATAATAATTTTTTAAATAAAAGATATTTTATATAACTGATAAGTTTTTTGATTTTATTCCTTTTTAAAAACTTAAAGATTTAATATACTTTTCATAAATTATAATAAAAAAAACATAATTACTAACATGCAGAATAGCTTACTAATAAATATGCATGTATACACATTTAAATAAATTATGATTTTACTACTTAACATGCAATAATATTGCTGATAATTATTATAACTTATAAATTCACATATAAATTACAATATTATTCAGTTTTACTTGTTCATATTATTAACACTTTTGTGCATGCATTAAACATTATAATATTGTGGAAATTAATATACCAGATACTTTAGAGTAGTTAAATATAAATGATTTTCAATTAAATACAGCATTATTGCAGAAATATGTTTTATTTTATTATTAAAATATGGGTTTACGAAAAAAACTGTGAAATAGTTAAAGTTAGAAAAGTAAACTATAACTGTGACAAGCACTTCTTGAACAAAATTCAGTTCAAAACTTTAGTAACAATGAGCATAAACAAATGTATCTGTAGAATTAAACAATTTCAACTTTTGACATCGATTTGATACTCAAAGCAAAGTATTAGAAATTAATCCTCAAATGGTAAAGCTGCATCGATTATGTCCAATATATACAAAATGTATCTAACTGTATTTTTACCAAAATTAAATATACCAATCTTTAAAGAAAAGAATACAAATCAATATTTAAAGAAATAACATAAAACTTAAAAAATAAAGATAATATAGAATATCAAAGTAACACATTCACAGTCCTCTGACTTATATATGAGTTAATATATTCCCTACTCATACATCCTTCGACCCTTATATGAATCATGCTCCATATATTCTGGACACACATTAGTTGTATGAATGTACGAGTAGGGACTACATCTTGGGCTTATACAATGAGACCATCAAATTTAAATTATTGCTACTTCTGTATCCAAATGTTAATCCTCCACAATTTGTTTATACCCATAGTCATTTATGTTTTGAATCTAATTTGATCCAAACACCGCTTGCCCAGGTAGTTTCTTTTCTCTCTTAATGTATTTCATTCCTTGTATCTATAACCTATCATATCATTAAATTTGATAATTATAAGTACCAGTTATTTCGTTCCAACGATCGTTAATAGCACCAATTTGATATTCTAAAACAAGATGTATTTTTTTCTCTTACCCAAAATTAATGATATTTCTGTAATTTCTTACCGTTCATGGTTTCCAGCACCAACATTTTTGCAGTCTTGACAGTAAGATTGTATCTTATCATGCTTTTCAGAAATAGCTGTTCTGCTCCAGCTTTGCCCATTACCAACACTAATACTGCTGGCCAGGATATCAAAAATAGGATCATCCTCGATCGTACTCACAAAGTCTGTTGTTTTAACAACTTTGTCAGCACTAAGCCTCCAAGATGTTCTCGAGTTCGTAAGTTTTGCTTGAAGTATCAAAAAACAAAAAAGATAGCCGACGACACGACCGTCGACCCCAACAACTTGCATTCTTTTGCTTCACGAAAACTGATTAAACACGTTATCAAAGTGTACAAAAATTGTTTGCTTGTATATACCACAGAATTTTCATTCAGGTGAGTATTTTCTCTATATTGTATTTAACGAGAGACCATACTAAATTTGCGCATCGGTACCAACTTCAGTCGATTCTCCGGCACTTAGTATTCCCCACTAACATGCTTTTTTCATTCCGCTACTTATTGTACACTGTGAACAAAATATACGAATAAAGAAAAAAGCAAATTTTGAAATTAAAAATTTTACAAGTTTGGAAATATGACAACTTAAAGATTTAGAAATTTGAAAATGTGGTCACTCATATATTTGAAAGTTTGGAACTTTTGGAATTTATGAATTTGATCATTTATGGTTCTGAAAATTTCAAAATTTGAATCACTGAGTATATACACTTGTTACCAAAAACGTAAGTACGCATGTGTGTCGTTCATAGTTACGAAGTATTTTCTAACCAATCAAAGCTAATATAAACGAAAACTTATCGCACGATAAGTATTGTCTTCCTTTGAATAGTCTATAGTAGCCAACATTCTATTTTATAATTACAAAATCCCCACTTATTTTAGCTACTCTTTATTCAAATACTTATCTGACTAAATTGTAATAAATTTTCAAGTATTGTAACAAGAGTATTGTAACAAATACTACATTGAGTTACTATATATGTAACTATAATACTATAACAAAAAATACTATATATCATCTAGTAGAATACATATGTTTATTTCTAGTAGCAAAGGTTTTTATGTTCCTACTTCATAATAACATGGCAGACGAAAAGGATGCAAATAATACTGAAAAAGTAGAAAATCGTACACAATTTGTAAATATTTGTGAACAGGAAGCATGTCAGAACGGAGACAACAAATTAATAGAAATAAATCCAAGTTTAAGCAAACGTCAACTGAAAAAAGTAAAGAAAAGAGAAAAATGGTTGGAACGAAAGGTTGAGATAAGGTTTTTACTTCATAATTCATTAATTCTTCTTGATAAATTATAACTAATAAAGTGTTATAAATTTACAAACTCTTTTGCATTAAACTTTATAACGATACCATTAATATTGTAACTACTATTCTGTTATTGTCAATTAAAAGTGATACTAATTTTACAGATTACGAGAAAGAGAAAAGGCAAGGCAAAAACGAGCATTTGCTCGTGCAAATAATATTGACCTCGGTCCATCTAGGAAAGCGTTGAAAAGAGTTACTATGGCAGATAGTAGTTGTAAAATTGGAGTAACTATCGACTTATCATTTGATGATTTAATGATAGATAAAGATATAGCAAAATTAACTAAACAAATACTAAGATGTTATACTTTGAATAGACGCGCTGTTGCACCAATGCAGTTTTCACTTACAAGCTTTAATGGAAAATCAAAGACAAATATGGAAAGGCATAATGGATATGAGCACTGGGATGTATGTTACTATTTAAAATACTCTTATGTTAAGGAGGGTTACAAAAGCATTTTAAGCAAAATATATTAATTTATTTAGAGAAGTTAAAACATCTTTATATACAATTATTATAATTGGTGTTAAAAAATATGTTTTATAGGTAAAATTCTATATGGAATCGTATTTAAATATCCATCCAAAAGAGAAAATTATATATCTTACTAGTGAATCAGAAAATATTATTAATCATCTGGAACATGATTGTGTGTACGTTATAGGTGGTCTTGTTGATCATAATAGTCATAAGGTAAGCTAACTTTTTTAATTCGCATTAATCTTCTTACATAATATTTATACTTTTAGGGTCTCTGTCATAAGTTAGCCAAACAGGCTGGAGTAAGGCATGGCCGGTTACCTTTAGATAAGTTTCTACAAATGAAAGCTAGGAAGGTTTTAACTGTTGACCATGGTACATTTTGTATAAGATTTAGTTAACTAATTGAAATATTTTGTGTATTAACATTTAGATGTATATATTTTTCAGTGTTCGAAATTTTGCTCAGAGTTAGTGAAGGAAAAACGTGGCAAGAAGCATTTTTGCAAGTGTTGCCAGAAAGAAAAAATGCGCAACCTATTGTACCGTTAGAAGGAAAAAAAGACATGCCAGAAATCTATAACGAAAAACAAACACTTTTTTATAAAAATGACGAACTAGAACAAAAAATGAAGGTTAATGAACTTAAAAGCACAAATGATGTACATATGTAATAAAAATATGTTATCTACAAAAAGCATTGTACATAACTTTGTGATATTCAATTTTAATAGATCCTTATATTTTCTATTATCTTTTTATTTTCTCTACTATCACTTCACGATCACAATACCTTTTAGAAGAGAAACGAAGTTGTTCATGCACAAAGCATGGCATACACAGAATACATTTTTAATCAAGATTATACCAAACAAAAAATATAAATCTTTTGTACTCTAAAAATTTAATACTACACATATATAAGTATGTATATATGGAACCTTAAACAAATCAAGGTACAAACTTATACAATCATTAATGTAAAAATATGACTGAAGTGAATTAAAGATGCATATTTTATTTAAGATAGATAAATTTACTTTAAACGTAAAATTTTCATACACAAAATAAAAATGAGAAGGTAAAATAAAAGTTAAAATTACATTTTAAAAAAATATAGATCATCAATTTTTCTCAAATTTTGCAAAAAAATTTCACAAAATACTGTTTCTATATTTGTGTACAATTTTATATACATACCATTTACACGTATACCTTTAAAATAGAATAGAATTGTAAAAATAAATTAGAATTGTATAAAACTATACATGTGTTTAAAATATTATAATACTATATTCGATATAGTATAATAGATTATGACTAGAGAATAACCGTTTCCGATATTGCAGAGCTATTTAAATTAAAGAAGACCGCATCGTTATGTAAAGCACAATTTTCTGATAATTATCTAACTTTTCATTTGATAATTTTCAGTATATGTTATTTGTACACATTAAAGCTTATATTTGTACTTTACCGACGTAAAGTGTTGTTATATGTAAAATGGAATAATAGTTATTGCAAAATTTGGGTAAAACTGATACGATAATATTTTAAAATGTAGTATAAATTTATATATAAAACAATGTCGAAATTTTCGATACCGCAATCCATTCTTTGCTATAAACCATAGAATTTTTATTTGAAACATTTTTTTCGCCAAACCATCAAAAGTGTCTAAAAAATCGTCATATTTGATTCGTAGACGACTCTATACATGTATTATCGATAAAACTATTTACATAAGTGATATCATTTTTTTATAGTAGTTCTAAAACAAATTAAAATCATTTAAATTAATTTTAAAATGGTACAATTGTATCATTGAAATTTTCACACTTCATAAAGAAATTACTTTTACTTATTGATAAATCATTACAAAGTCTCTTTAAAAGTGATATGATCAACTTTTATCATTTGAACTCTAGACGAAGTTTCATTATGAGATCTCTGTAATTAATAAAGCAGGTTATGCTATGTTTAGTACTTCCTTTGAATTAAACTAAATCAAATCATATTATTTACAAAATATTATTTTGTGATAAATTAAATTATTCTCTTTATGAATAAGTTTTGCAATCTTAAAACCAGAGCAAATACTTACTATCATATTTATCCATCTCCTACCTGCTGCATAATGAACATTGTAATTCCTAATTCCTTAATTATAATTTACAGCTAAGTATTTTCCTGAATCTGATACGTATATACAAAGCTATTTTTGACCATAAAGGTCAAAATAATATTTAAACTGATAAAAATTTATTTATTCGTTTCCTTTTTCGATATCTTTTAGTTCAAATTTTTATGTACACGAAGAATTGCTTATATTTCCACAAAAATAAGAATTAAGATGATTTTCTTTGTTGTATATAATAAGCATGTACAATTTCACATATATACTTTAAACGTACACTAATATAATTATTAACAAGTTATCATTTATAAGAAATTAAAAAATTTCGTTTTTGTTGCCACATTTTTTAAAATATTTAAAATTTCAATATAATTCTAAGATATTTTTCAATTTTTTTTTAAGAGAATAGTTCAATCAATTTTACGTAAATATTCATGAACTGAAGCAGGTAGTTCAAATCTGAACTAAGTAAATAATTTCCTTAAATTATCTTGTTAATATATATTTAATTATTAGTTTTTCATCGTTTAATCATCAATTTTCCTTTTAATTCTACTCTGCATAACAATAACTTCACAGTTCACATACCTGTGAGTCTTATGCAAGATCTAACTTATCAATTTCTTGACTGTCAATTATTTCGAATTCGCTACCACTCTCGTCACTATTACTAACTAATTTTCGCGATACAGGTTCAAGCTCTGCTTCTTCTTCGGAAGATGATCCTTTTTCAAAATGAGTGCTTTGAAATTTAATACCATCCACATCATTTTCTTCAGCACTGAGCTCTAATTCAGAAACCTCTAAACCATCAGTGCTCCCATCTTCGTGTGATGGCATTTTTAAACCAATAAGCTCTTCATCATTAAAAAATTCTATAGTTAAAAAAATTGTTTTAGAATGTTTTCTTTAAAAAGGTCACTCATACATATTTTTACAAATCTAAAAGACATAATCTTACCATTTTGAGCATCAGATAATACACTGGTTGGTGTTGGAGATTGATCCCCAGATTCTCCTGCTCTTGTAAGAACTTGAAGATTATCCTCAGTTACTGCTGGTAAAAATTCTTCAATTTCACTATCCCATTCTGTACAGGAATGTAAATAATGTTCCTGAATTATTGTGTTAATTACTAATCATACTTTGTTTTTAATTTAAATATTATTGTGCATGAATAGTAACAAGACATTTTTATATTTGATATGATAGTAATTACCTTTATGTGATATTCTATTAGGTAGCTTTAACAACAATGCAGGTCCAAGTAAAATGCTCATACATATTGTATATGCAAGAAGTACTCCATTTATAGTACGTCCAATAATCCATAGGCCCAAAGACAGAGAACATATAGCACTACAAAACTACAATCAGTTTTAACATTTAAAATATACCATCATTCTGAAATGAGTAATTTAAAATATATTGAGTCTTGTACTTTTGATTTATCAATATTATCATCTTAACAATCACATTAATTACATTTGAATCTATTTGAATTCATAAAATATTTAAATATACAATAGAACTTTACCACTCCTGGTTGCTCCTTTTTTAATTGCTTCAAACTATGAATTGCAGATTTTACTTTTCTTCCTATTCTTTCTATTTGTTCTGCTTTTGCATATGATCTATAAAAATATTGTACATATTTTAATCAAATCATTTCAAATTACATAATTATGATTTTTTAAAACTCAAGTACTTACACAGCAGTATCCACTGGTTTATTCTCCCTTTGTACTTGGGCTTCTAAAGTACTATAACAAAGGACAATGACCAGAGCAGCACTGCTGGCTGCAGCAAAGCCACGAACCTCTAGTACAATAATACCCCTGAAAGAAAAACACGTATAAAATGAATATCATGAACATATTTATGTTCTAAAACTTGAGAACTAATTAAGGTAATTAAGAAGTTCAATAATAGAAATTAGTATTAATTAAATTTTAAATCGGTGATTATACTTTTTAATTATCAATTATGCTGCCATCTGTTTTAGTATTTTTGAAGTCTAATGGAAAATATAGGAAAGATGCAATTCATTTTATATTTCATTCAACGAGAGATCATATCTAATTCGCGCAACGCAGCTAATTTCAATAGACCCCCCACCAATTAGTGTTATCCCTTTCCCATACGTTTTTCATACCATCTTTTCATATACACGGTAAACAAAAATACGTGAATAGGAAGAAATGATAACGATGAAGAGCAAGTATAATCAAGCGATGACGCGTGAATCACATTCGATTATCATAAAATGTTTATATCCCCAAATTTTCGTATTTTCAAAAATCTACATTTCCAAGTTTTTAAATTTCTAAAATAAAAAATCACTGGGTATATGCGTTCAGCGTCCGGAAAATCACAAACTCGCATGTGCGTTGCTGTTGGTTACGCTGCACACTCAAAACCCAATCACAGCTGACATGCGCGAGGCAAATGAAAATTCGTCATACGATGAGAACGATTTCTCGCTAAACAAAGTATATAAAATAAATGTCAATGCTACAAATATGTATACATACAAAGTAAACACCGACTTCCGTATTATAAATTGTATATGTCAAGAGATTACTTGAATCAGGAAAAATTCATTAATGATCGCATATCGACTTGTTTTCGAGATATGCGTAATTGGCATTCATTCGCTTATCATGCAAAACATATACGAAGAAATGCGAAGTATCGTAAATCGTAACTTTCGAGCACTGATATTATTATTTACACCCGACATCGAGTACTAAAGCGTACACGCTTAAACCTTGACCCAGAAGACAGATTGCTTACAAAAGCATTACGGAACATAGTGCATTGTGCCGAGGCTTTTCATAAATGAAATGCTTATTTCGATATCGAACAAATTATTATTGAATTATAAAGTATGAAATATATACATATTAGCAATTTCCTTTAAAGTTCCATGCAGCTATTCAATTTTTATTTCGATTTATTAACAAACGAAGTTAAAAGCTTAAGTAACATTGGTATCACGAATAATAAATCGCTGAATGATCAAATTTTGCGAAATCACGCGTAACGTATATAGCTTAGAAATGACGTACTCTGTTCGAGAGTAAAGTAAACTCACCAAAACAGTATGTTGAATACGATAACGACGGAAATACTGTTCACCGAATTCTCCCAAAGCAGAATACTTTCCAAAATACCACAGAATCGTCTCGAAGCGTCAAAATTGCATCCAACATTCCGATACCGTTCAACCTCGATTGTTTCGCGCTTGTCCTCAGCGGTCACCTCACTTGTATCACGAAATGTCGCGTTTCTCATCCATTGGAAATAACACGCCACTCTTGAAAGCCGTTCCATGACAGTTCCAGGTCGACGTTGGCTGCTTTTGTCGTCCTAATTCCTGTACTCCTTTGGCATGGTACACCCTCGGAAGACTGTGCGGGAGTATTTTTAGCGCGTGACAACGAGAGTTAAGAGTTTTGAGAACGAACGGGAGTTTCCTTCTGCTTTGCCTCGAATAACGGAGCGAGAAGGAAAAAAGAAAGAGACAGACACGGTGGAATAGAGAGGAAAGAACGGAAAGTGAGAGGGATAAGAAAGAAAATTCAAACGAAAGGGGAACGACGAAGAACGAATGAATGAGATATATGAGCGAAATAAACAGAGAGCGAAAGAGAAAGAGAGAGAAAGAGACAGCGTGCGAGAGAAAGAAAGAATGATACCTGATAGACAAAGAAAAAATCATAAGTACCAATTGTATACGCTTGCACTTGCTTCAAAATTGTCCTTGTCAATCTTGTGAACCACCGTCGTTCGAATCACGAATTTTTAATTGTTCTGTTTCTTGTTTTGGGGACACTAGTTGCTCGATGTTCAGTTAACGTTGTGTCTATTATCCTGCTACTGACGTATGTACGCGTTCAAGCGTTATTTCACATACCCTACCTTCGGTGACTGCAAACACGTGACGGCTGCGACACGAGACGCCGTTGCACGGCGGACAACGTGTACGTTTGCACGAGAAAACTGCGTAAATTCTTAAATTTCTAAGTTAACGATGACCTACTACGCAAATATCGTACGTTCATTTATAAGATTCTCGAGATAAACAAGTTGTTTCTATTTGTTACATATAAATGCTTAAATTTTACAAATAGTTGGACATACACTAACTATTAATTATAAAAAATCGTCACGTTAGTAATTTATGATGAGGTATATTTTATTTCATGTATTTAATTTGTAGTCGGGTCATTACGACTATCAATCAAGAACGTTTAAAAACATATTTAAAATCCCGGTTGTATAACAAGAATCTATTAGTACAGAAACGTATTTTTTATTTATTTGCATAAAGTGGTATTTAGAAATGTAAAATACATAGTCAACTGAACATTCTTCGGTTACGCGAACCGATTGTTCTTTTGAACAGTAATACTACCCATTACTTTATACATAACTCTGTTTGGTAATACTTGACTTGATCCACTGCCTTTCTCTACATTAATCGACCTAAAGTGCACGAAGTCGAACTAATTCAGGTTTTTTCACTTTTACTATGTCAGTAATGGTGTAACTCAGCAAGTGCCCTGTTCTTAAAAATTGTTTAATATGTAAGAATATATATCACTTTCATATGTACAATAACTTATAGTTTTTAATCAAATTATTGTATATAATTATATTTTTTATAACATTTATAAACAATCTTTAATCTTCAGTTGTTAAATATTGTTTTAAAAAGATTTTGTGATTTATGTAATGGAATGATTCTCATTACTGCGATTAAATACATTTAAAATTCCAATGCTGAAAGGTCAAGAACACTCATTTACCAAGTACCTTTTTTACAAAAACGGAAATGATGAATGTTATAAAATTACACATACAGTAATAACATTATAGTAATAATTTGAATAATGAATATACAAAGTATTACTCAGACTAAAGTCATATTCGTTCCATTTATAAATAAGTTTTTATAAAACTAATGTATGAAAACACAGTTACATAAGTCAGTATAGCAATTGATGTATATTTTCAAATACATGATAATACAGTGTTATATTTATTTTATCTTGTAATGAGATTGCAATATAAACTGGTATTAATGTTAAAATAGATAAAAACATATCAGGGATACTTAACAGATATTTTCACATAAATACAACTGTTATAGAACAGAAGATTTTTAATATTTATAGATTTCTTTATTTTGAGCATTTAATTTTAAATAAAAGTAAATTTTGTAGAAGCTGAAAATCACATCTTATTATAATTAAAAGTGATTAATACATAACAAAAGCATTCATTTTCGGTACTTCTTAACTTAAAACATTGATTTACACATTAATAAAGTGTATTAAATTCTTGTTAATTGTATTTTCATTTACGTATATTGCAAAAGGTAAGTAATAAATTTGCATTTTTTAACAGTTGTAAAATGATTTACACTTACTACTATGCATTCCCTTATTTTTTACATTTATACAATTTTCTACATACACTTGTAAATTAATATATGATAAAATTTTTAAATGTGCGAAAATACGGAAGACGTAAGAAGAAAATTCATTTCCTAAAACAATTCCATAAAAAATCTTTTACATCTTGCAATATCACATATTAGAGTGTTTATTACTTATATCTTTTTTTCTGAAATATATTAATGTATCAAAAATTTCAATAAATATATTCAAGAGAAAAATTTTCAATTCTCTGAATCGTACTTCAGAGTGAATTAAGTTCCTTCAAAGGTAAATATGTTTCATTAATTTTATGTTAAAAAAGATAATTAAAAAATTATACGAAATATTTTTTGTCATAAGACAAAAGGCACTTGTATATAAATGTCACAATAACATTGAGATTATACATCCTCAAATCAATGTGTTACCATACAGCTATGCAGGTATTCATTCTTACATTACAAGTTTTCATTGTATACATAATTTACACTTACACTCGTTCACACACATTCATACATAGCAGTCTAAGTTATATGGCAGTATTATAATATCGTACTTAGTAAATAATCTGATAATATTTCATACTACATTAGTTTCCATTAAATACTTATGAGTTACAATGTTAAAAACTATCCCAATTAGTTCTAAAGCTTTGTTTGTTGCATAATAAAGTTTCTTGTTTGTCATTTAAATATTTAACAGTTTAAAATTTATGAAAAGAAAAAATAACAATTTACTGCAATATAATAATGGTTTTTAGTCAAGAGATCATTCTTAATATTTCTATTTTCCAGCATACGTTGGATTTTTAAATGTTGAAGTTGCTTGTTTGTAAATTGGATTTTCCCCCTATTTCAAAATGATTATAACAGATTATAATTCTATATTTTTAAACATATTGAGATAAAAAGAAGAAAATGCTTACCGTATCCCATTTCGCCATCATCCTTTCCTTTTCAAATCTTGCAAATTCTCTCCTATCATGGATAGTTGTTAATAATTTCCATAAAAGTAATAATGCAAGCCCAATTAAAACAATTGCCGCTATTACACCTAACACTATTCCGAGCATATAAACTTGTGGTGGACATTCTCTTTCCTTTTGGGCTCGTACTTTCAGGCAATTGAATTCATCGGTGTAATAAACAAAATTATATTTACAATCATCTTCGTCTATACCGAAGCATAAAGTCTCGTCTTTGTCGACATCTGATATAACGGTATCAACTGGTTCAGGAACAAATTCTGTACAGTTTTTCTCGCACTCTTCTTTGTCAGTATAGTTACCAGTGCCATACATTTGGCACAATACACAGTTCCTTAATTCATCGCAGCGACTTGGACACGTTGAACATTTGTTACAAAATTTGCCAGAGTATTTGCCTTTTTCATCGCACTTACATTCACCGCAAATACAAGTTCCCTAAATAATAAAAGATTTAAATTAGATTTATAAAATACAATTGATTTTCTTCTATTATAATAATAAGTCTCACATGTCCAGAACATAACACTCCACTTTTGATTCCTGGTGCGATACAAGTTTCATTTGAAGATCTACAATTACAAGATGGACCAGTCCACCCTGCGTTACAAACACATTGCCCACATTCGCATGTTCCATGGTTGGAGCATAAATGTCCTTGATCTCGATCGCACGAAAAATTGTCGCACTCGCAAAAGTGACCTGATATTTTCTATAAAAAGTAATACAACAATAAAACAAAATATGTAAGAGTTAAATTTGTTACATAGAAGTAAAGTATATAATTACTTCTTCCGGATTTTCTCTTTCTTCACATTCGCACTGACCACAAGCACAGGTTCCTCTACCTGAACAATCTACGAGCGAAGTGTTATCACGTCGACAAGATTGGTAATGTTGATCCAACAGTCCTGTCATCTGTTGAGGACTGCATTCACAATGTTTTCCAAAATAATTATCGTAACATTCGCAGATACCACATTTCAAGGTTCCTACTGCATTACATTTGTTTGAGTTACTTTCATACATAGGCCCTTCATGTTCGCATTCACAATCGCATAACATTTCCAAATTTACAGTTAGCGTTTCATTAATACCAACCTAAATAACATTAATATATTTCTTATTTTTAATCATATATAAAATTTAATAAACGAATGCGACTATTTTTATTCTTACTGGATAAATGTCGAACTTTTGTATCCATTCTGATCTATTTTTTGGACAACTTGTGACTTCAATTTCTGCAATAAATTCTACTTTTGTCCCAACTTTTAATCCGTCACATTTCGAAGTTTCAACAAGCGGTCCAGATCCCAAACATTTTGAAAAATATTTCACTTTCACAGCACTGCTGGCTGTATCTTTCATCTCGACAGAGCTTGAGATTGCATCGTACTGTTCTCGAATTAATTCTACAACGTTACTTGAATCGTCCGATAATTTACCAGCAAAAGATCCTTCTACATGTTTAGTTAATCTTTTATAGACGTTTATCTGTTCTTCAGTAACAGCCCAAATAATATTAATGGCATTCTGTTTAACCTTTAAATTAATCTGAGAAATACTTGGATAGTCTTGCAAGGATGAGTGTGTATAGAGACCAGTGTGATCTAAATGACATTCACCATCATTTGGTTTCACAATTCCACCTAACTTGCCATCACCTGCATAGTGAAAACCAGCATCTGTAGAAAATACTAACAGTCTACGAGCTTTTTCACGCCAACCAATTTGCCCTCTACACACTATAGCTTGCATTATAGCATCAAATCCTCCTTCTGGTGCATCCAAGTTACCAGACACTGATGCATTTCGTACCAAACTCTGCGCACATATTAAATGAGCAAATTAGTTTCCAACCATGGAACATTAAAATAACACAATATACTCACTGCAAAATGGCTAGTGTCTTTAGAAAGAGTCATAATGTTTTTATAACCATATGGTGCTGCACATCCATCACATGGTTCTATTAATCTAAAATACAAAGATGACTATAAATTTGTTACTAAATTATAAAGTTATAATTTTAAGATACATTTTATACAAAGATTGTTATTTTTATTGAAAACTTACGATTTAGGCATTGTATTAACATAAGGCATTACAACTTTGTCAACAAAACTACCAAAACCTAATCGAAAATTACTGGTAATTTTACTCATGCTTTCTACTAAAAGTTGACCTAAATCTGATAACTTCTTTTTATCATCTTCCATCGATTTACTTAGGTCCATAAGGTAATATAAATCAACAGGATAATCTTCTGCTTGCGAATAAGTGAAGGTCATTCGATGAGCTTCATCTAAAAAAAAGTTGTTTTATGAAACTATAAATATAATTTGTTGTGGTTTTTTTAAAAATATAGAAGCGATAATAACTTACTTATTCTGAGTTTTAATTTGACTTCCTGAGGCCAAATTTGTACAGCTTCCAGTCTTCCAGTACTACTGCTGCTGCTGGAACTGCTGCTACTAGACTGGGAACTAGTGCTAAACGAACTAGAGTTCATGTATGAGTACTCATAACTACTGGTACTGCCATTAGCATAACCACCTTTCGATAAAGGACGATATCGTACCATACTGTAAACATTATCTGGGTTCCATGTATACTCTGCTGGACATGTTGCAAATATTTTGGTATTTATATTTGGTAGAAAACATCGCTTCTCAGAAAATGTCTAGAAATTAAATAAACATTTATTATATAAAACATATGTGATATATAAAAATATATAATAGTAATAGAAATACTGAAACTTACTGGTGCAGCACACCAAGCACAGTGTGGTGTTTGTATGCATTCGTGACATGATTGTTTACTAAGACAAGGATTCATTCCTGTCAATCGTTCTGGTGGGGCATAATTTGCCTTTGATAATATGGATGTGATAATTAATATTGTTATGATCCATCTTAAGCTGCCAAACATTCTACACAAATATGATATTACAAATTAATTAAAAAATTTTTTTTTTTCAAACTTGTAAGGCTGATTTTATTTTAAAGTACTATTTAAGTTATCAATTGATTGTCTCAGTTAATAGTTGAGGTCTTACTCAAAATGACATCATTTTTATTCCCTCAGAATTTACACTAATATAATATGTAAGTAAGTATTTTAAATGAATCCAAGTTTATGAATTATAAATATGAAATAGATGCTTTTAAAAATAACATGATAAAAACACATAGTAAAGATTATGGATAAGGCGGTGACTTTATATAGAAACTTCATTCGTAAATAAGGAAAAAGATATGAGGTAATATTCCTGTAACTGTTGACTCATCAAATTCTTAAATTATATATTGGCACCACCTATTTTCAACTTCTAAAATTGGAAAGTATAATATGACTTATACTGATTTATTTTATAATTAAAAGTGTACAATGACAAAACTACAAAATGTTTTAAAATTAAAATTTAGGACAAGACATTAGCTTCATTCATAAATATAGCATGTTAGTAAGCGAGGTATTTATAAATAAATCAAGTTACTCTGTAATTCTATTCTAATATTTTGAAATTAGTAATAAAAAACTAATAAAATATTAATTAGTAAACCTTAATGTTTACATATAGCCCAAAAATAACATTTTGATTTAAAATTTTGTTTCGTGTGTATAAAAAAATTGTAATATTTTATACTTGAAGCATATGATACATAATCAAAAAAGAGTACTAAGCAACAATAAAAAATAATTAACTCCTTCTGAAACGAAAAAAGTAAAACAAAACTGAGGTGCGGCCAAGCAGTATCTCCCACATTCATAATTTTAATTTTAAATAATACTTTCTCCACCATTGGTTGGGAAATTATTCAATTATGAAGTTTCTAAATGTGTTTCATTTATATTTTAAATTTATATTATCAAATTACAGGCATCCACACCATAAAACAGACCGCTTATTCATTCATAACGATGCCGTCATCTTTATATTTACAAAGTACAATCATTTTATAAACGAAGAAATTAATATTAAGGTGATAGACAAAGAATAGGCTAGAACATTTAGAATGCTTACTTTTTTCTCAAAAAGTCCTTTTCCGATTTGTTGTTAAAACATTACAAGTCTGACCAATGTTTTCTTGATACTTGAATCACCATAAAAGGTAACCCATCAAACGCACGCACTCCACAAACAACTGTCCATACGAGATCGTGGTAGGCTTGCTGACTATCTGTGCCTGTGTATATACCATAAACTCATGAAAACTAGATATGCAACTAAGTGCACTTGCAAGACACAATATTGCAGCTGCAGCGTTACGTGTGTTCAAAATGTGAAACATTTATTAATGGCGGAAAGTTTTAAACACAGTTCAATTTTTTGCTCATTCAAGAAACGTCTTTAAATTAAATGATATTATGCTGAAATTAAAAGTGTCGTATTTAAATTAAACAAACATTAATGTTATAGGTCCTGAATTTTGCTATAGTATAATTAATAATATTATTTAAAAAAGGTCACCTTTTCAAAGTTTAAAAACTCCTCAGTCCTAAAATTAAAAAATTCTAAACTTTCAAAATCTAGAATAATTATTTCAAAATATGAAATGTTATAGCTTATACTTTGAATTAGTTTTTGAAGCCTTCAAAGTTTTAATTCGATTCAAATACATAAGAATGGTAAGGGTACAATTTACCCTTGCGTCACAACCTTAATACCAGTGGTGCAAGATAGGGGGAGAAACCGGAAGTTTCTTTTTATCATTTCCATCTTATACATTAATAAATTACATAAATAAAAGTAACAATGGTACTTAAAATAATTATTTCGATTTTTAAAATTGATTTGAAAAGCAAATAATGTTATTGATTATTAAATTCCTAATTATATTTGTGTATATTTTTAATGAAATGTAACTGTTTTCTGTTATAAAATAAAAAAAAAATCCTCAGTATTATAAATTTTTAAAATATGTACATCTGATATAGAAAAACATTCAATTGAAATAAATAAAATATTGTATTGAGTTACGTTGTTCTCGATCGAATTTGCAAAACCTGCGCACTGAAGAAATAACGTTTCTACGCATCCCCACCTTAGGATAAACGTTTGATCGACGTTTGTCTCATATCCGGCTTGCGGAAAATCGTTCTTTCTGTTCTTGGAGTCGGGGTGAGTAGGATGTTCGTTGGTTCGTTTGCATTCTAAACCTTTTACTGTAATACTATATTCGCTTGTTCATTTCTTTCTTTATATCAATTTCTCGATATTTTATTTTATTTTTTTTTTTTCAAACGATAATTCAAATGTACTAAAATTCTGTTTTAGAAACTGCAGTTGAAGTGAATCAGTTAAAGTATCACCTTGAATAGAAACTGAAACAACAAACTAATTAAATATGTGAGTAATAATTCCACTTTGAAATATATTAATGTATTGTACTTCTTAAGTTTATTTTATAGCACTTAATTAACATTATGGTTGTACGTTTCAAAGTTGCCTTCGGTCCGCCATTACATGAACATCTGCAATGCGCTGTTGAATTTTCTTTCATGTCCGTGCAAAAGTGTAAATTCGTGTTATATAATCATTTACGTTTCAATCTATTTTAATTTTGAATTTATTACAAAACATCAGTTTATTCCAAAGTTTTGCGATTAGTGAAGTTTGTATCTCCAAACATCTTTTCGCGGCGTGTATATTTTCCAATTACAGTTACTTAAAAAAAAAATGATCTATTGAAGGTTACGACAGATAACGGGAGCCATTGGATCCCTCAGACTTAGGTTTGTATAGAAGTATATTCATTAATTGCTATGAATACACTAAAATTATGTAATTTAGTTTGTAATGTAATCTTAACAAACGTTTAATTTTTGTGTATTACACTGTTCAACAATTTTAACTTTATTTTTTTGCATTTATGTTTATAATTTTTTATAAATATTTACCAAAAATGGACCATACAGGCTAATTACTACTGCAGATGAGACTAATTCTTTAGATATACCTTAAGCATTTCTAAGATACAATTCAACTTCCTATACTTTAGTAGTGGATCCTTGAGATTTTGTTTTTGTATTACATCTGTTAACATTTATTGTAAGCTCAATTAAATGTTGAACAGTGTTCAGCCTCTCATTTTGGCATGCGTCCATTGTATACTTTAATGGATCATGAATGCTAATGGGAGGAATATTAATATGAGAACATGCCTTCGGAATCCACACACTTCTGTCTGGAGCCGTTTCTCTATGTTCACTACAATTACATATAAGTGTTGATGCAGTTTAATAAGATTTGTGAAATACTGAATTTTTTTTTATTTCTTTTATAGGACGTACGGAGTCAATTACCATAGTGGAAATTACAGAAATGTTAAGGAGCGGAGAAACGTGTATGGAAATACCAACACTAACAGGAATGGACGTTTTGAGAATCACAATAAAAATAATATTAACAATATTTCTGGCAACTTGAGGAAACCAAATTGGAGTTCAGAAAGTTTAAAACCATTTAAAAAAGATTTTTATATACCACATCCTGATGTCCAGTCACGTCATCCACAAGACATAGATTCATTTAGACAAGAAAATCAAATCACACTTAAGGGAGAAAAAATTCCAAATCCTATTCAACATTTTGAAGAAGGAAATTTCCCTGATCATGTCATGCAATGTATCAGAAAACAAGGATTCAGTGAGCCAACAGCTATTCAAGCTCAAGGATGGCCAATTGCTATGTCTGGTCAAAACATGGTTGGAATAGCACAAACTGGCTCTGGAAAGACTTTAGGATACATCTTGCCAGCATTAGTACATATTAGTAGTCAACAACCTTTAAATCGTGGCGATGGGCCGATTGCTCTCATCCTAGTGCCAACCAGAGAATTGGCACAACAAATTCAAGATGTTGCCCACAATTTCAGCTCTTTGTCATATGCAAAAAGTACATGTATTTTTGGTGGAGCACCAAAAGGAAAACAAGCTCGTGATTTAGAACAAGGAGTTGAAATCTGCATTGCCACACCTGGACGATTAATCGATTTTCTGGAACATGGCACAACCAACTTACGCAGATGCACTTACCTGGTATTGGATGAAGCAGACAGAATGTTAGACATGGGTTTTGAGCCTCAAATTCGAAAAATCATTGAACAAATTAGGCCAGACAGACAAGTTCTTATGTGGTCTGCAACATGGCCAAAAGAAGTCAGAAATCTTGCCGAAGAATACCTTGTAGATTATACACAATTGAACATTGGATCATTAACCCTGTCAGCTAACCACAACATTCTACAAATTATTGATGTTTGTGAGGAACATGAAAAACAAACAAAGTATGTATTATAATTTTAATATTAAGAATCTTTCAGAAATGATAGTTATTTTTGTTATAAGTTTTTGTATTCCTTTTATGATGAAAGCATTCTATGATAGTTTGTGATTTTATGTAGCTTTTATTCCTCTAAGAAGAACTGATTTTCATCTGTTTATTGTATAAATAGTTATCAGGCTGGTCATGTATTAATGCAATTTTTTTTTCTAATTTCAGATTAGAAAACCTTCTGCAGGAAATTAGTAGTGTTAATCCTAATGATGGAAAGACAATAATTTTTGTTGAAACAAAGAAAAAAGTAGAGAATATTGCCAGAAATATTCGTCGTTATGGCTGGCCTGCAGTATGCATACACGGTGACAAATCGCAAGGAGAAAGAGATCATGTTCTTACAGGTCCGTCATTATAATCTGTTATAACAAATCTTGTTTGACATGTGAATTTATAATGAACATTAAATTTCAGAATTCAGAAGGAAAAGGAACGCAATTCTTGTAGCAACAGATGTTGCTGCCCGCGGATTAGGTAAGTGATTAATTTTCGTATGTCTCTTAATTCTTTTTGTTTAAACTATCAAAATTGCATTGATCTTTAGATAAGTTAGATTTGCAAAAATTTATATTTATTAAAAAGAAAGGAAATAAAAGTAGTACAAAGAGTAGGGTAAAAGTGGCGATGTAGCACAGACTGGTTATATGAAGATGATGCCTCACAATTTCCAAAATAAAAATAATTGATATTAATTAAGGAACCTATCATCATATATACAAATTAAGTAATAATATAATATTAACTCATTAGAGTTTATACTTCATATATTTCCCTAATTGATAGCAATAAAACACGTGTAATATGCGTATTTTAAGGAAGATTAATACTGATAAAGAAATACTTCTAAAGCATATTCTCAAACTTTACATAAGCGTGTACTAAATAGATGGCATTAATTAGCTGGTACATGTATTTTATAATTTTTATTACTCTATTATAATAGATACATTTTTTTTATAGGAATATGAATAAAACTTTCTTTTAGTACATTTTATAATTTATTTTAATTAGGAAGGTATTCAACTTCTGTTAGCATTTTATTTCTGGGAATAACTTGATTTTATTACATGGATTGCTAATACGGTATATACATAATTTATTATTTAAGTTTATTTTATTATTTTTATGTGTTTCGGGTGTACAAACATTACTAATCGTTTACTAATGTAATCTATTTACGCACAACAAATACTTCTATTCTTGAGTCATGTGCTTGTGTTAAAGAATTGAGAAGAAAGATTTGAATATAGGTATTGCGTTAGTAATAAGTGTGGGCATCTTGTAATTTATGTTAATCAGTCTGGTTGTCCTTTGTTTCAGAGGCACATGGTGCACAAATTGTGTTGAGTGTGCGATGAAAAACGATCATTCGATAAAGAAAACATGGCTCACTCATTGTACATGCGCAATTCTGTTTTGTACATAATATTGTACTTAATGTGCCTCTGTGTTCAGCCTCTGTGTACCACGCGATAGTAGAGTGGTGCGCGGGTGGTGCCGCAATCGTGCTGATTGGTTGTGAGATAAAGCGGTGGTTTACAACCGGTACACCTCATAGCCAGTGTTCAGCCCGTGTCAGAGACAACAATCTATTGATTTTGCTACTATCGCTACTACTCAGTGGTGATGCTTAGGACACGACGTCGCTAAGTGAACTTGCATTTAAGAATAGCACACATTGAGGCGCTCTGTATGCAGTCATACGGAACGCATTGTCCAACGATAACTGGGTTTGTATTTGTTACTATGCAGCTAACTTACATTCATATACATTTCAATCTGAGATAGATATAATTTTTACAAATATTTTTATAGTTTAACATTTTTCTATTAGGTAAATAAATTTTCAATTATTACTGTTTTTTTTTTTATTTAAACTACTTTTTATTAGGTAACAAAATAGGAAATAAGTTACATTTATACTTTTTGTTGAAGTCAGTTTTTTTAATTTTGAATAAACTTTTATGCGGTATTTTTAGTTTTGCACGTATAACTTGCACATAGAAATAGGATACAAGGAACTGCTGTACACAGTTTTTTGTGTCTTGAAGTTTTGAGAAACTATTCATAAGGTAGATTAATACTATAATATAGTGTATGATTATAGGTTTAGCTGCATATATATTTTGAATTGAAGAAAGAAATCTAAAGATAAAAGCAATTACTTTTTGTATTAATTTTTATTAATAGTAACTAATTTTTGTTTTAACGAAATTAATATAAAGATTTTATTGAATCAAGAAAGGTTTATTTAACAATAAAATCGAAGTTAGATGTTTCATTTATTGGATATAAAATATATATCATTAGAAAGTTAACATTTTTCACTAAACGCCAATTTTTGTATACATGTATAAATACGTATATTTGTACGTATGTATACATATGTATACACATATTATGGTATTTTATTTACTAGTATTACTATTTTGCATTTTAATACAACTATTTCTTCAGATGTCGACGACGTAAAGTTTGTGATCAACTTCGATTACCCAACATCATCTGAAAACTACATTCATAGAATCGGTAGGACGGGTCGTTCAAATAATTCAGGAACGAGTTATGCGTTCTTTACACCACAAAATTGTCGACAAGCGAAAGATTTAATCAATGTGCTCCAAGAAGCGAAACAAGTCATTAACCCTAAACTTTGGGAACTCGCGGAGAAAACCGGAAATGGTATTGCTCAACGTAAGTATTTACTTATGCAGTACAGTCTCACTCATTTTTATTAAATTAAAAAATTCTTACATTAAAAGATATAGAAATTTAGAATTTACCGCTGTATACACATTTAGTAACTATTTTTGTTGAAACGTGATATTGCTATACGCCATTGTGCTTCCTTGTGTACTGTCCGCCATTTTGTTTTTTACCATATATCCAGTGCAGCATGCAATTGTATTTCTAATGTACTCTTAATTAACATAAATATTTGTATATTTGCAGATCGTTGGGGAAACGACAACTATCGTAGACGAGAAAATAATTTCCCCAAAATTCACAAACGATTTGATGCAGTAAATTACTTCAACGCGTAGATCTGTTCCAACTTCCGACCACATTACCAAACAAAATTATCTGTTGGAGATTCAAAACTTGTTGCAAGGAAGATTCTTCACGTTATTTTATGTTAGATACGTGTTCGGTTAGTTCTTTTTTATTTTTATTTATAATTGTTTTAATTGCTAATAATAGGGACTCAGTAATACAATAGAGAAACAAAAAACATGTGCTTTTGATAGATTTTTATTACTATATTTTTACACTGTCATTTGTTTGAAGCACGGAGAAAGTGAATAAATACGTAAAATACGATGATTGACAATATTGCAAAGATTAAATTTAGTTAAAAAATTTTTTGTTTTATTTAAATCTTAGTTACAACAAATTTTAATTGTAATTTATAGTGAAGGAATTATGAAGATTTCTTTTTGAATAAAAATTCTCTGTGTATTTTCGAAGATGGGGGTTTAAAGAGACATGGGTAGATAGTAAATGTATCAGTATTCGTTCCACTTTAATGTGATCAATTTTATTTTTTGATCATACAATAAAGTTACTTTCTTGTTTAACTATATTTATACGTTAAAGTGTCCTAAATATTATGACTAAAACTACATTTGTTACATGAACGTTTTATCAATGTTAAGTATTGATATTACGAGATAATTTTAATTTATTGAAAAAGAGAAACATCGGTTGATCGATTCAATCTTACAGTAAAGTATTATCTATATGTAAAAATGTAGTTTGATTAAAACTTTCCATCGATCTGACGGAGTATTCAAGACCGTCATAGCACTTGAACCTGCGTTTCCCGTAACTCCGCACATTGCTGTATCACATTTGTAATTTAAGAAATAAACTGACTAAATTAAAGAACCAAAGATTTATTCTTCAGATTATCCTCACTATGTTGTACATTTAGATTAAGTGCTTTTCACATATATTATGAATTTATAAGCTGCTGTATTTCTTAAAAATTTGATTGTTCCATTTATTGATCAAACAGTGCAGACAATGGAAGTAGCAAGAATATCTGTACTTGATTATATTCGAGAAATGAAAAAACCGACCGTTTGTAGACTGATATTATGTGCAAAAGTTACAAATTATGAGAAAATTATAAAATCGATCAATCTTGCAATGAAAGAGAACTCTACAGAACACGTAACAGGACTGCTCCTGATTAATTCTGATTTTCTGATTCATTTGATCGAAGCTTCAGAAGATGAGGTATTCCAATTGTGTAATAAACTGTTTCTTATTAATTCAAGCGTGGTGAAAAATATTAAATGTATATACATACAAAATAATGCGAAAAGATTGTTTGAAGCGTGGTACTTCAGAAAGTTGAATGACAAGATCTTCAAAGGTGATGAAACATGTGAAGACACTTTTGAAACTGCATCCAGTACATATAAAAAAATAATTTTAAATTTACATAAATTATATTGGGAATTACGAAACGTAACAAATCGTGTAAGTAAAAGCAGTGTAATAAAATTGTAACATTAAATCATTTATGATAAAATCTTTTTTGTAGGAAATCTTGATCGAACAGTTAGATTTAATATCTACAAAAGGACATTCGTGTATTCCATCAATGAAAGATATAGAATTTGTACTTCAAAGTTCTTGGGGATATGATTTGACAAAATTAATAAATGACTACGTTAATTTAAATTATTCTTGTAATTTCGATGATTACTCGCAAGTTTCTGAGATGGTACAGGAAATCAAATATGATTAATTTTGTGAAATACTATTTGCTGATAAAAATAATCTATATTTACAAAGCAAATATATAGCATTATATAATTAAACAAGTGCGTATTTTTCTGAAATGGCAGAGTTATGTTAGGTTAGAATAATATAGAAGTTATGCAGAAAAGGGTTATGTCGCAGAATAAACCAGAGGCGACGCTCTCTGTTTAAACTGGTTGTACAAACGAGCGGGAAATTTAAATTAAGTCAATCCGGAAATAATTATTACAAACATATAAGAAAATGAAAAACTATATATCCGAAGAAATTACAGATGAATGAGTTACAGAGATATGACAAAGTATTTATTACAAACAAATTTCTGGTTCGACTGCCATACTTCCACACTATGCACATGCGCACCCGCGATCAGTGTTGGGCAGTCGTGAGATTTTATCTCACGCGAGAGCTTTATGCGCATGCGTCAGCTGACGTCACAGCTTGCTGCCAATGCCGTACCAATGGTACACGCAGTGGTGACTAATGAGGGCACCTTAATGATCCCACATAATTTTCCAAAAATTCTTATAATTGCACTGTAAACTATGAATGTATGGGTTAGATTACATTAGGCTGGGTTAGGTTAGTTATATATATGACTGTATAAATCTATACAACTATATATACAATTACAAGTAAAATTACAATCGTAGCTCTTAAATTCTGAATTCTAATTCTAAATTAAATTCTAATCGTAGCTCTTAGCTCGGTATAGTTCTCTGAAGATTTTTTAAAGCCTTCAGAGAAATATACCAATTACCAGGTCACACCACGTGGAGGTGGCTACGATAGTGACCCACCCTGACTCCAAATCCCATCCTCCCTCCAAACGCAACCTCATTTATCAGAAGGATAAATGAGTTCTAACTCTACTCAGCTCATACGCTCGCATATACAAGTTCTTTACCACAATCCAGTAAAGAACTTGTATCACACACACAAACACACGCACATACATTAACATAATACATACGCTTAACTTATTCTAAATATACGCCCACACACATACGCTTAACTTATTCTAAACGCCGCAGGGTACCTCTACTTCTAA